ATTTTTATATCTTACAGTATGACATGAGAAATACTCACATCTTTCTACTTTGTTATATTGCCGTATGAGATTGGAGGAGACTTGACTTTCAATGCATCAAATGAGAAAGGTCAAGCTGTAAATGACTGTTATCACTGTCAATTATCTTTGCAGTCACTCCAGGGAGAGAAATAGTGGCTCAATTAGGACCACAGTGCTTGACTGTGAATGCACCTCTTTTTTGTTTGCCTCTTGTATATTAGGGTTACATTGGGTAAAAAAATCTGTGCTCCCATTTTTAAAAGAGTTCAACAGCAAAGGAGAGAAATCTTGCAATCGGAAGCTTAAAGAATGTGCAGGAAATAGATGTTGGTTACTTAAGATTATCTTGAGTAGAAATAAAAGAGCCTCAGGGAAAAGATATTTCTGATTTATTCTGTCTCAGCATCCTGAACTTTGATTTACTCTGGTATAATAAAGACATATAAAGAGAATGAAAAGATAAGCCACGAACTGGGAAAACTATTTCAAAAGACATATCTGATAAAGGACAGTTATTCAAAATGTTCAAAGAAGTCTTAAAGCTCAACAGTAAGAAAATGAACAATCCAACTTTAAAAATGTGCAAAAGATCTGAATTGACACCTCACCAAAGATAATATACAGAAAGCAAATAAACATACGAAAAAATGCTCAACTTCATACACCATTAGGGACTTGCAAGTTAAAATAAGGAGATAACAACAGCGCCTACTAGAATGGTGAAAATCCAAGAGGCAGACAACACCAAATGTTGGCAAGGATGTAGAACAACAGGAATTATTCATCGCTGTTGGAAACACAAAATGGTACAGTCACTTTGGAAGACAGTTTGACAGTTTCTTACAAAACTAAATACACTCTTACCGTATGATCTGCAATCACATTCCTTGGTATTTACCCAAATGAATAAAAAATGTATGTCTACATAAAAACCTGCGTATGAATGTTTGTAGCAGCTTTTTTCATAGTTGCCAAAACTTGGAAGCAACCAAGATGTCACTCAATAGGTGAATGGATAAATAAATTATGGTATATCTAGAAAATAAAATATTATTCAACAGTAAAAAGAAATGAGCTATCAAATCATGAAAAGACACAGAGAAACCTTAAATGCATATGGCTAAGTTAAAGAAGCCAATCCAAAAAGGTTACATACTGTATGATTCCAACTATATGACATTCAGGAAAAGGCAAAACTAGGGCAACAGTAAAAATTTCTATGGTTTCCAAGGGTTAGGTGAGAGGAAGGGATGAGCAAGGAAAGCATAGGGGATTTCTAGGGCAGTGAAACTATTCTGTATGATACCATAATGGTGGATACATGTCATTACACATTTGTCCCATCCCACAGAATACCAATGGGATGGTAAATAGTGGGACTTCTCAGCCTCCATACCCATATGCGCTGATTCCTCATTATATTCATATATATATGTGCATATATATAAATGGGTTGAGACTCAACCCATATATTCATGTGTTTGTGTGTGTGTGTTTGTGTATATGTGTGTGTGTGTGTGTGTGTATATATATATATATATATATATATATATATATATATATAGAGAACCGGAGAACCCCAGCTAATTCAGACAGTACCTGCCACATAGTGGACCTTTGATAAATTATTTTGGGGCACCTGAGTGGCTGAGTTGGTCAAGTGTCTGCCTTCTGTTTGGGTCATATCTTAGAGTCCTGGGATCCAGCAAGAAGTCTGCTTCTCCCCACCTCCAACACTGCCTCTACCCCCTGCTTGTGCTTTTTCTCTCAAATAAATAAATAAAATCTTTTTTTAATTACATTTTTAAAATATTTTCTATTTTTATAAGTGAAAAATGGAAATTTCTTTGATGTTTGAAACTTGCGTTACTTTACTATTGTTATTTTGTGTGTTTGTTAACCAGCTGCATTTTCTTCTTTATGAATTTCATATTTTTTCATTTACCTATTAGACCCTTTATTTCAATGAACTCATTATAATTGTAATGTGTTAATAAAATTTTTGTGATTTTTGTTCCTAAAATAGATGTCATCAAATAAAGGCAACCACTGGCAAAATAAATCTTTGTAATTGCGGAAAGAAAAGTACAAGCAGGAGTATTAGTTCAAATACTGAATAATGCCATCTAGTGGAAAATTAATTTTAACTTCTTTCTCTGAATCAGATATACCCAAATTTCAAGGCCCCAAATTTGGTATTTATGGGACTTCATTAAAATATGTATTCTAGGGGCACCTGGGTGGCTCAGTGGGTTAAGCCTCTGCCTTCGGCTCGGGTCATGATCTCAGGGTCCTGGAATCGAGCCCCGCATCGGGCTCTCTGCTCAGCAGTGAGCCTGCTTCCTCCTCTCTCTGCCTGCCTCTCTGCCTACTTGTGATCTCTCTCTCTCTCTGTCAAATAAATAAATAAATAATTTAAAAAAAATATGTATTCTAGCCTTTAATCTGCCCCGGGATCTCTAACTCTAATGTGTATGATAGCTAACAGCATTGTATTAGTATTATGCACATTGTATTAGTATTATGCACACCGTAAAAATTCCGTGTCGGTTAAAATTAAGGCCCAGTGATACACTGTGCATTCACTTTTTTTTAAAATTTTTAAAATAGATTTTATTTATTTAACAGAGATCACAAGTAGGCAGAGAGGCAGGGAGGGGTGGGGGGGGGAAGCAGGCTCCCCACTGAGCAGAGAGCCTGATGCAGGGCTCGATCCCAGGACCCTAGGATCATGACCTGAGCTGAAGGCAGAGGCTTTAACCCACTGAGCCACCCAGGTGCCCCTATTTTCTAACCAGAATTTTCACCAATTTCACCACAATAAGTCATTTTGCAGCTGCTAGCATTTTTCAACATGTAATCTATGCCAGCCCCCTGTGCTGCTTCTCTTGTATTATTTTATTTAATCCTTTCAACAACTTTCGTAAGGTAGGTACTATTATTGTGATATCTTACGGATGACAAGATTGGGGCAGAGAGTTTAAGTACCCTCTCCAACATCACACAGCTGTACCTGAGCCCATACATGATTATAATGTGCACAGGGCTCTGTGATGGAAAAGCTCATGGTCATGCCAATAGCAAAAAAGGACTAATGATGTTACAGTTCATTTCTGACATCTACATTCAGCTTAGCATACCGCATTCAGAAATGAGTTATATTCCTTCATTACTAAGGACTACTTAAGGATATTTTGTAACTTAATATTTACATGATTTGGACTAATATATCACACACTCAGATGTTCCTAACTATTGGTTATTGATTTTTGGTTTTATAAATTTGAAGACGTTTTCAGTGTTTTGCTGTTACTCTCTGTTTCCCCCAAATACTAACATAAGTGAAAGTAAACTGACCTGCTTTGAACCTTCTAGGTAGAGGCAAACTGGAACTAATTTATTTATAACTGTTTAGAAAACCCAGGTGATAGGGATCTGTCAGCCAGGCTAGCCAAATTAAGGCTAATGAAACTGGTCTCAAGCATAGGTGTCTGCCTCTACCCACCAAAGGCTAAGACACTAGGCCAGCCCAGCCTGGTCTGGGTCCACTCAGTGCTGGCAGAAGTCAAACTCTGCTCCCACAAAGCTCGCTGAAACATAGTTAGATTTTATCTCTTATAATCAACTAGGGCCCAAAGTATCAACTAACTACAACTGAAAAATTAATTCCTCCTACTGCCTTCGTAGGACATAATGTGAAAGTAAACATAGGAACTTTACAACAGTTCATCTTGAGGCTACATCCCTGAAAAGTGCCTGATGCTGAAGTCTTCTGAACATTAGTGAACAAAGAGCATCAAATAATGTAGTGGACTTTTAAACATAGAGTAAACTATAAACATTTCTCACTTTATTTTCAGATTACTGAGTGGAAATATCTGCAAATATCATCTTGTAACTGTATTTCTGTGTCCCTCACTCCCACCCCTATCTCCCAAGAGTCCAAAGTGTAAAAACGATAAAGTCCAAGGAAACAAAAAAGGTTCAAATCCATATTCAGCAAAACAAAGGGGGAAAAAATTGATGACTAACAAAGAATCTGCTACCATACTGTACTGGAAAGAACAGAGGAAATAAAAATAACAATAGAGAACATTAACTGAGCATTAATTTGTCCCAAGCATTTTTTAAAAATGTTCTTTGCACGCACGATCCCGTTTTAATCCCCACAAGGAGGAGATTTCAAGAGGTAAATGCTATTATCTTATTACACAGGTAAAGAAACAGTAGTTAAGTCATTCGATGGAGTCGCATAGCTAGTAAAACATGCACCAGAGCCCAAATCTACCACACTGTAACAAAGATCAAACCCGTGATCACTTCCTTAGAGCGCCAGAGGCAAACTTGGGGCGAAAAATCCTTTAAATGGATTTCCCATTCAACTAATGGACATCTGCCCAATTACACAGTTACTTAGAGAACTTGCTGTCTGCAAGGTCATTTATGAACTGGTTGAGCTTTATTATGCGGTTGAAGTCACAGTAAGTCCCACAGGGTAAGAATCTGGACATCGTGGAGCTTAAGAGGCCTGTGGTATTCTTTCCAGGTTCTAAAGTTTTAATTTAATAAGAAAAGGGGCGGGGAGACAAACGAGGTTACGGGAGCTTTGGTAAAGATTTACATAAGACAAATCAATGCTTTTAACATACCCACTGTGACAACGTGGTTGAAACCTCCTTTTGGAGATAACCACGTAGATGCAAGGTTAACCTTGTGACTTTGAGGTCCGGCCACTGGCTTCCTGGCACCCCTGCGAGAAGCCCTGGTGTAAGCTCAAAATACCCCAATTTAAGCATGGGTTTTGTTTGTAATTCGTAAATGCGGTGGCACAGTCCCTAGGGTCCTCCGGATGCAGGCCACGCCCATAACTATCGAGTGGTGCAGTGGGAAAAGCAGTCGGTCAGGAGCGCCCCCGGAACCAAAGCGCTAGCTCCTGCCGGCCTGGGGACTGCGTTTGCGCAGCACCGGGGGCGGAGGCTGGCCGGCGGTGGGAGTGGCGGCGCTGGCTCCGGCTGAAGGCGCCCGGGCTGGCGGAGGGCGCCGTGCGGTGTAGTGTGGCGGCGGCGGCCTGCCGCACCATGCTGAGCGGAGCGTGCGGTTGGCTCGCCTCAGCGCTGCGGGGTCCACGCGTGCCGCCGTTCGCGGTCGCCCGTAGGTGCCTTCACGCGTCGGGGTCACGGCGGTCCGCGGACAAGAGCGAGAGGACCGGGGACCCGCCCCGCGCCTTCGACCCGGCGCTGCTCGAGTTCTTGGTGTGCCCTCTTTCCAAGAAGCCGCTCAGGTGAGATTCGCCGGCTGCGGGTTTGCGTTCGCGCCCTCCGGGGGCCGGGGCCGAGGCGGGGGCGGGTGGACCGCGCGGCAGCCTCAGGGCCTCTGGGCAGCCCTTCGTTTTCCGCTGCCATTTTCTGGCTCCGGGCGGACCAACTACCATGCATCTCCCAACTGCGGCGGGAAGGGCAGGAGGATACCGGAGGGGAGCCGAGCCCCAGGCCTCCCACATCAAGCCGCCCACCCGCAGGGATGGGTCGGGGCGTTTACAGGTTCACCACTGGCCGCGCCGTGGAATCGCCAGGGAACTTTTTTTTAATGCCGATTTCCGGGCACCACCCCAGGGCGACTCGGTCCGCCGGTCTGGGGCGGGACTAGAGCAAGGAGTTTTTTTTAGAAGGCCCCGCAGCGGTTCGGTTGTACCGCCAGGTTTATGAACTGTTGGTCCAAGGCGTATGAAAATGTACAGCCGATGCCTGACAACCTTAAACGTTTACGTTCTGTGTGCTGCCCCTTTTGGCTCTCAGTTTTGGACTAACTGGGTTTTGTAAAGGCTTCCTTGAACCAAGAGCCGGGAAAAACAGCCCTGGGAGGGGAAAATGAAACGAGAAAATCTGAGAGGGAGACAAACATAGGAGACTCTTAATCATAGGAAACAAAGAGTTGCTTGGGGACCTGAGGGGCGTATGGGGTAACTGGGTGATGGGCATTAAGAAGGGCACATGATGTAATGAGCCCTGGGTGTTATATGCAAGTGACGAATCACTGAACTCTACCTCTGAAACTGATAATACGTAATAACGTTAATTAATTGAATTTAAAATTTAAAAAAAGCTCTACAGTTCCAGGCTACTAAAACTGAAGGCTGACAACATGGTATCTATCAGTGGTTATTTTTGGGTGGTGGATTGCTAGTCATTTTTTATTTTCAGTATTTTTGCATTTCTCTTAGATTATTTTCTGTAATGAATACACTCACTCAGTTTTCTTACACCTTGAAATGATCATTTGATCTGCCTCTCAGTTAATTGTGTAACTAGCTCACTGCAGGCCTGTTGTTTTCTAAAGTTTCCTCATTTCTGTCTCATCTTCCTCAATTTTTATTTTGTGTATCTCGATTTTTCAGTGGTTTCCTTCTAATGGCTCAGTGTTGCTCTATTAAACATGTATTCTAAAGCGGAGAGGTTGAGTTTTTCTCTAGTGGCTGTTTGAGTAGTAAATTAACTGGGATGGTTTTGGGGTTGCCAGATTAAGAAAGGAATATTTGGATGAAAAGGGGAGATTTTTTCTGACTGGATTTTAAAAATACATATTAAAGTATAGCTTGAGAATAAAGTAGAAAAGAAAATATGAGAGAAACGGAGTAAAATGGGAACAATTAGAGATTGATTTTCTAAGAGAAATGTTTCAATTGGGTAATACTGCTTTTAGAATTAGAAGCAGTTTAATTCTGCTTTTTGTAATTAACAGTCTGTCAAGAATTAGATAAATGGTGGTGTTTATTGAACACCAAGCTCTTCCAAGCATTTTGTTTTCACAGTTCATTTTGTTTTCCTTTTCTCCCCTCAGATACGAAGCATCGAGGAACGAATTGATTAATGAAGAGTTGGGAATAGCCTATCCAATTATTGATGGGATCCCTAATATGATACCGCAGGCAGCTAGGATGACACATCAAAGTAAGAAGCAAGAAGAAATGGAGCAGCACTAGATCATAATTTTTTAAAAAGCAGCACAGCTAAACTTTCTTAATACCACTTACCTTTTTAAAAGTCAGAGTGGCAGGTAGTAAGTGGGGGAGAAGAATGTTTTTGTCTCTTCCTACGTTGACTGTTCTTATACCATTGGTCTCTCTAGCGGGACTGTTCTACTCAGCCTCTGTGGAAGAAAACTTCCCACAGGGCTGCACTAGCACAGCCAGCCTGTGCTTTTACAGTCTGCTCCTGCCCATTACCATACCTGTTTATGTGTTTTTCCACCTTTGGACTTGGATGGGTATTAAACTCTTCAGGCATAATTAATACAGCCAGAGCCAAGATGATACATATATTAATGATACATCGTGAGTGTCTATCTCGGAAAGCTCAGCTACATGGAAATACTGGAAACCCACTTAAATTGCAGGAAAGGTGCTTTGCCTTGCTTCTCTCAGAGGTTTAGGACCATGGGAGGCTTAAGCTGCAGGAGTTTCTTTTATATTTTTGTTCTGCCCTTGTTTTTTGAAAATTCTAATGTGTAACTACTGTATCAGAAGAAACACTTCAACACAGTTTTTTGGAAATTAACAGTCCTAACCATCACCTGATGACTTTCTTACCCCATTCATCTAAAAATAATTAAAATTTTATGTTTATTTTAGATTCAAAATATTTGGCAGAGTCACATGTTAAGGATGACTGAATTATTCCAGAGGAGTTGTGTTGGAGCAGTTGTAGAGAAATATATTTGAGCTAGTGTGCTAGAAGACTACAATAAAATGGAAATTTCATGTACTTGCGAACATTCTGAGTTTGTAAAATTACCTTCGTTTCTTTGGCATCAAAGATGACACTATTCCATTTAAAAAAAAAAGTGTGTTTTTGTTTGGTCACAAATGTGTGGTTTCAAAAGAGGGGAAATGTAAAAAATATTCTAAAGTTTAAAATGTAGGCAATGTTTAAACAGGCATTTAATACCCCACATAGAATACTTTCCCAGGAAAATATGTATATTTGAGGATAGCGGTAGGGTTGGAGGACTTGTAAAGAGCTTTTGTGTCCTATTGAGCTAAGAGCTGTGTTTTAAATCACATTTCAGTTGAACTTTTTCCTGCCTTAGGAGACCTGTTGGGCAGTGCATTGTTTCAGTGTATTCTGTAGTACAAATCATGTTTTTAAAATCACTCTGATACTCAACACCAAGAAAACAGGACCTGAACAGACATTTTTCCGAAGAAGACCTACAGGTGGCCAACAAGACACATGAAAAGATGCTCAGCATCACTCATCATCAAGGAAATGAAAATCAAAACCACAACGAGATACACGTTATACCTGTCAGAATGGCTAAAATAAATGAGAAATAGTGTTGGCAAGGATGTGTAGAAAAAGGAACCCTTGTGCACTGTTGACGGGGATGTAGATTGGTGCAGCCACTGTGGGACAGTAGCGAGGTTCCTCAAAAAATCAGAAATACTAAATTATCCAGTAATTCTAGTACCGTCTATTTACCCAAAGAAAACAAATACTAATCTTAAAAAATACATGCACCCCTATGTTTACTGCAGCATTATTTACAGTACCAAGATACGGAAGCAATCTAAGTTCAATGGATCAATGGATGGAGAAGATGTGGCATATCAGGCTGGAGGGAAGAGGGCTTGGGAGACAAGTTGAACAAAGGTAAAGCCATTTTGGTTTTAGGTTGACCCTTACCCTAAAACTCAGCAGGAAAAGTGACAGGCTGGACATTCTTAAAATTGTTCCCTGTGAGTAATCCCTCAATCCTAAAACAGTGGAAAAACTAATTGCCTAATGTGAATGAGAAACCCAAAGTTAAAGTGTAAGCCCCTCCCCATATGGTTACCTAATTTAAGGAAAATATATAGGGGGGCCTGGGTGGCTCAGTCAGTTGAGCAGCCTGCTCTTGATTTCAGCTCAGGTCATGATCTCAGGAGCTGGCCACTGAGCCCTGCCTTGGGCTTCTTGCTCGGCGGGGAGTCTGCTTGAGACGCTTTGTCTCCCTCTCCCTTTCCCTCTGCCCCTCCCCCTGCTCTCTCCCTCTCACAAATAAAATCCTAAAATAATTTATAAAAACTGATAGAGGCAAGGGAGAATCCTCTTCCTCTCCTGGGGAAGACAGCTACTTTGTCTATGAAGTAGCTCCTTTCTTGTATACTTAATCTTTTCCCCTTTCTCTAAATGGCTTGCTCTTGAATTCTTCCTTGTACAAAGCCAAAACCCTCTTGGAGAGGGGCCTGAGGCCTTCTTGGGGCCCCAGCCTGTCCGGCATCATATATACAATGGTATATTACTCCTATGTAATAAAAAAAAGAATGAGATCTTGACATTTGTGACAACATGGGTTGACCTTGAGGGTATTAATGCTGAGGGAAATACATCAGACAAAGAACAAATACCATATGATTTCACTTACATGTGGAACCTAAAAACCAAAAAGAAATAGATGCAAATACAGAAAACAAACTGATGGTTGCCCAGAAGGGAAGTGTAGGGGGAATGGGCAAAAGTTGAAGGGAAATGGGAAGTACAAGCTTCCAGTTACGGAATAAAGTCATTGAAATAAAAGGTACATAGGGAATGTAGCCAATGGTATCATAATAGCATTTAAAGTGACAGATGGTAGCTAGATTTGTGGTGATCTTAGCACAGTGTAGAAAGTTGTCCAGTCACTGTGTACATCTGAAACCAATGTAACATTGTGTGCCAACTATACTTAAATCACTGCATGGCAAAATACAAATAATCTGGACAAATATAGAAGTTTCTATCACTTCCTGAAAGGGAGTTACTGCTTTTTTGTTTTCAGATTTATTTATTTTATAGAGAGAGGGGGTGATCAGGGGGAGGGACAGAGAATCTCAAGCAAATTACCTGCTGAGTACGGAGTCCGATGATGAGATCGGGCTCCATCTTATCCTGAGACTGTGACCTGAGCCAAAACCAAAAGTCGGACACTCAACACTCAACAAACTGACCCACCCAGGTGGCCCCTAAAGCTTTTAGTTCTTTAAGTTATCTATACACCCAATGTGGGACTCGAACTCACAACCCTGAGATCAGGAGTCACAAGCTCCACCAACTGAGCCAGCGAGATGCCCCTTGTTCTTTTTTAATTTACCCTAAATCTCACTGTGGTCAGTGTAAATGAAATGATTTTGCTGATAAAACAAGCACTATAAAAAGTCAATTTCAACTTTTGCAAGCGAAGCATTTTATCATTTTTGAGGAAACTGATAAGGACACTCTGGGGGAGTTCAGCATTAATGCCATCCTTTCACTAATAGAATTTGACAATCACTTGTAGAGTGCAAATGGTACACTAACTCCAGTGCTAAGCATATTTCATATAATCTTCTATAACCTAAGAGGTCAGGTGGGCAATACTGGCAGCATTTTACAGATGCAGAAGATGAAGCACAGAGCGATTAAAATGATTTACCCAGGGCAACAGCAAGAACCATACCAAGGCTTAAACTGTCAGCAGCCATGGCTTCAGTCTGCCTTCCTAACCACACTGCACACTACCTCATTTTAAGAAAACTCATCCTTTCTATTTATAAGAAAAGCAAAATTAGGAATCAAAATGGTTGGATTCAAATTCCTGTTCAAGTCTGATGCCTTTCTTCTTGTTTCCTAAAGCACCATATATTTTATCTCTATTTTAGCACTTGAACTTGTACTGTAATTGCCTGCTTTCTGTCTCCTGTCTAGACAGTAAACTGTTCAACATTTTTAATTTAATGCTTAGCATGGAGCAGGCACATACTTCCTGAGTGCCTGAAAGCATGGTTCTAACAAGATTTAGAACTTCAGGCAAGTTACTTGTCTCTGAGCTTCATCTGTAGGTTTAGAAATCCTCCTGCTTGTTTCCTAAAATTGTGAGGACAAGCTAAATTTGACACATGAAAGCCCTTTGTCAAACAACCCTAACTGCTGAACAAAACCACCATTCAGAGTCTGGAAATTGTCCCAAGGGCATACAGCCAAATGAGGAAACATACAAGAAAATCTAAAACTCAGTAAATGCTGCACATTGAGGTTTGTGCCATCTGAACCATCACCCACATCTTTCTTCCTCCTCTCAGCTCAAACCGTTTCACTCCAGGAGGGTGCCGCCAAGACCCGGAGCTCTCCTCCCTCAACTCCTAGTCTAGTAGAGCTTTATGGCATCTTCCCTGGAGGGGCAGGCCACCAGCAGAGTAAAGATAATTATGTAACTATAAAAGACAGTGTAAATGTATATTTCCTCTCTACTTAACTGATCTGTAGAGCAATTTATAGAAAACAATATATATAAATTGTATTTTGGGGTCTCTACCATATTTGCCATTAGCAGCACAAAGGAAGTAGATGGGAGCAAAGCTGAACTGGAGTGAAGAAATGACACCAGATGGTAACCTGAATTCACAGGAACTAATGAACCAGAAAAGGTAAACAAAGTTAATAGAACTAATACTACAAATACATCTGTGTTCTCCTTCTCATAATTTAATGAAGAGGCATTAAATTATATAAAGTATTAATTATAACCAAGTATTGTTGAGATTGTAACATGTAGACATAATATACAGGCAATAATAGCACAAAAAGGAAAAGAGCTACTTAAATGTAATGTTTCTGTATTTCACTAGCATTTTTTTTTTTTTTTTAAAGACTTATTTGAGAGAGAGGGATTCCTGGGTGGTTCAGTTGGTTAAGCATCTGCCTTCGGCTCAGGTCATGATCCCAGGGTCCTGGGATCAAGTCCCACATCAGGCTCCTTGCTTGGAGGGGAGGCTGCTTCTCCTGCCTGCCATTCGCCCTGCATGTGCCCTCTCTCTCACAAGTAAATAAATGAAATCTTAAAAAAAAAAAAAAAAAAAAGATTTGAGAGTGAGAGATGCACATGTGCAAGCACGGGGCGGGGAGAGGGAGAGAAATCCTCAAGCAGACTCCCCATTGAGCTCGGGAGCCTGACGTGGGGCTCAATCCCATTATCCTGAGATCATGACCTGAGTCGAAATCAAGAACCAGATGCTTAACTGTCTGAGCCTCCCACTAGCGGCCCTCACGAGCACTCTTAAGAACAGATCTGTTGGGGCACCTGGGTGGCTCAGTGGGTTAAGCCGCTGCCTTCGGCTCAGGTCATGATCTCGGGGTCCTGGGATCGAGTCCCACATAGGGCTCTCTGCTCGGCAGGAAGCCTGCTTCCCTCTCTCTCTTTGCCTGCCTCTCCGTCTACTTGTGATCTCTCTCTGTCAAACAAACAAACAAATAAATAAATAAATAAATAGAACAGATCTGTTAAGTCAATTATATTTCAATTAAAAAACACAGTAGCAAAAAAAAAAAGCAAATCTCCAGATTTTAAATATTTCTCAAGCTCTCATATGCTGCTGCTGAGAATATAAAAATGATTCAGCTTCTTTGGAAAACAGTTGGCAGTCCCTCAAAATGTTAAACACAGATTTTACCATACAGCATCATTTCATACAAATGTTTCACACAAATATTCGTAGCAGCGTCATTCATAAAGCCAAAACATGGAAAATAACACAACTATCCCTCAGCTGATGAATGGATATGTAAAATGTGGTATAAACATAATGAAACATTATTTATCAATAAATATGGAATAAAGTACTGATAAATTCTACAATGTGGATGAACTTCGAAAACATGCTAAATGAAAGAAACCAGTTTTTAAAAATAGTATATTGTTTGATCTCATTTACATGAAATGTCCATAATAGACAAATCTGTGGAAACAGAAAGTTGATTAGAGAATGCATATGGCTGGGACATCATGAGTTACAGCTAATGGGTACAATGTTTGGGGGGGGGGTTCTAAAATTGTGGCAATGGTTGCACACTTCTGCAAATATACTAAATCCATTCAGTTGTACACCTCACTTAGCTAATTCTATCCTATGTGAGTAATATACCAATAAAGCTGTTATCAAATTAAAAAAAAATATCTAAATGTCTAATGACGGGGATTCTCCTTCACTAGCTTCCCATAACATAGTTCATGCCACGTATGGATGCCATGGCATTGACCCCACCACCTCCAGCTCTAAGCCCACCACAAGAAATACGATCTTATACTTTCACTAACAATGATGGGAACTCTTGCCTCCTTAAAGCCTCTTAATGAGATTATTTTCCTTAGTGTCCTCAGCATTGCTGACAAGGATCACCTTTACTACCCATCTTGTGAATAAGATCCTTCCCTCAGCTTTCAAAGTGAGAATTTCCCATTCTGAGAGAACAAAAAAAGACTTGCCATGACCTCTCTCTTTTCTTCCAATCCTGCAGAGTGGGCTAAGAAGTTCTCTGAACTTGACTCTGGATCTGTAAGATGAAAATGATACCTACTTCCAGACTTGGTGGTTGTTTTAAGGGAAGTAGAAAATATGAGGGACGCCTGGGTGGCTCAGTTGGTTAAGCAGCTGCCTTTGGCTCAGGTCATGATCCCAGCGTCCTGGGATCGAATCCCACATTGGGCTCCTTGCTTGGCGGGGAGCCTGCTTCTCCCTCTGCCTCTGCCTGCCATTCTGTCTGCCTGTGCTCGCTCTCTCTCCCTCTCTCTCTGACAAATAAATAAAATCTTAAAAAAAAAAAAAAAAGAAAATATGAAATTACCGAGCACCCTCAAGAACCATAGTAAGAGTCTCACTACTGAGTATAGCTGTGGGGAGATTGTGGGGAGAAGGGCCTGTCTCCTTCTCCAAGCTTTGTCCCTTAGTGAAAGGCTCCATTTGGACGTGATTGCTATCTCCCGCATCTGCCACTAGGTGGCACTTCTGGCTAACTCATATGAAGAACCACTGGCAACTAAGCCCTTGGAAGGAACCATAATGAGGATTGTACTCAGAAAAGCTAGCACTTGTGAAACGCTGAGCTAGGAAGCCATATTCCACACGTATTTATTGGTGTGGCACCTACTAGGTGGCCATAGATTAAGTGAATTCTGAGAAACAAGAGGAAGAACCCAGAGTTGGGATGCAGAATTGAAAAGAGAGGAGGTAAGGAAGAGTCGGGAGGTTGGGGCGGGATGAGAAGTTTCCAGGAATAAGAAAATGCATGAATAAAAACACAGGAGAGTGGGTGCCTGGGTGGCTCAGTGGGTTAAGCCTCTGCCTTCAGCTCAGGTCATGATCCCAGGGTCCTGGGATCGAGACCCGCATCAGGCTCTCTGCTCAGCGGGGAGCCTGCTTCCCCCTCTCTCTCTGCCTGCCTCTCTGCCTACTTGTGATCTCTGTCAAATAAATAAAAATCTTAAAAAACAACAACACAGGAGAGACTGTGGCCTGTTCAGGAACTTGAGATAGTTATAGATGCCTAGAGTGAAGTACACTGTGTATACAGAGCACTGGTGGGAAAGCAGGCTGGAGCTGCACAGGGGACATGCCTGAAAGGATCTGGGGTGTCTGATAACAATGAACTATGACTTTACTGCCTGATTTTCAAATCATCTTGATTTATCACACTGTGGCTCTTCTTCCAAGAAAAAAAGCACATGCAAAACTACAGGGGTTCGTAGGTTTGGGACCTGTCAGTGCCAAGTGTGTGTATTTGCACTTACACATTAGCCACCCATCACATGGAGACACTGAGCCCTTGAAATCTGAGTAGTGTGACTGAGAACTGAATTTTACATTTTATTTAATTCTATTTATTTTTAAGATTTTGAGAGATAGAGCACACCAAGTGGGGAGGGCCAGAGGGAGAAGCCGACTCCCAGCTGAGTGGGGTGCCCAACTCAGGGCTCCATCCCAGGACCCTGAAATCATGACCTGAGATGAAGTCAGACACTTAACCCACTGAGCCACCCAGGCCCCCTTATTTAACTGAATAGCCACATATTGAGCAGCACAGCTCCAGACTCTTTCTCCCACCACTGACATTTTCTCTCTTCAAAATTCTTCAAACACTAAACCTTACTATAGCATAAGGCTACCTTATTGAACAGTGCAGATATGGCGGGGAGGCAGTTTCCAGCCTCAGAGAGTTCTGTGGGGTGGTGTGGATCTAGATACAAGAACAAGAATTGTTAGGACCTGATTTATTGAATGTGTGGATAAAGAGGGATGAGGATTGCAGGTTCTGCCTAGAAATCCTGGTGATAACATTGAGCTGTGGACTACAGGAAACAGTAATTTTCTTAGACATGCTGAGATTAATGAGCCAAGGATCACACAGGGAGATACAGACTACTAGACCAAAAAAATGGCTGGGACTGGAATTGACCAGTTCCTGTAGGTCACGGAGAGATCTGGGCACCATCACATGAAAACAGAGCAGAAACCATGGAGTTGATGGGAGTGTGTGCGGAGTGAGAACAGAGGACTTACTCTAGCACTGGAGGTCAGGGGAGTGTAAGAAATACAAGCAAAGGAAATGGGAAAGAAGCCAAGAAAAAGAAAGCCACAGTCTACCAGTTCACAACAGTTCTGAGGAGAAAGAAGTCAACAGTTTCAAATGCCACATAGAAGATTTAAGACAGAAATGGGCAGTTTCCATGGACATTTTCAATGAGAAAGTCATTTGACCTTTATTTGAGCAGTGGGAGTAGGAGAAGCACCACCTCAGCCAAGATGCTTATGAGAGAAAAACAAAATTCGGTCTTTTATGCACTATGTTTTGGGGTCACCTTGTTCTAACAGCCTAGTCTAGAACATTATCAAAATACCTCATATGCAAAAACACAGTTCTGAAAGAGCAGGTGAACACAATGAATAGTGGGACTTTCACATTAATTCTTGAGTTCTTAATTTTATTTTTGAAAATATTTCCATAAAGGGGTAAAGAACGTGAGGCCGGGTCAGCCAAATCCTCTGCTGTTGTTGATGGCTACTTGAAGTGCTTCTTCCACTCTTTCCATTGTAGAATATTTGGGAAGATAGAGGACACTAATACACGTCTGTGCTCTTATGGGATCTTTTTCATTCACATTTTCAGGACAGCAAAATGTTATTTTCATGTTCTTTAAACCTTTTACTTGAATTCTGTCAGTTCCTGTAAGAAACACTGAGAAGAAGAATAAAACTGAGTGATCTGCTTCCCAGAGACCAAGACTTTTATAGAGGGGGAAAAAAGTGCTTATTCAAAACATTTACGGAGGGACCACGTGCAGAGTTCCACTTCAGCCTGCATCGGGCACTGACACGCTGTCCCTCAAGCAGCTTACAGTCTAGTTGGAAATATTATTTTCTTGTGCAGAAAAAGAGAAATAGCAAGGGAAAACAAAAGGGTGAGCCATCATGGAATTAAGTGCTTCCTGAGTGAAAATGCTGAGTGTGGTTCAGAGCAGGGAGAAAGAATCAGGCTGGGATGACCAGGGAGACTTTGGAGAGCTCAGAATTAAGCTGGATCTTTAAGAAGGGGAAGGTTTAGAGCAGCAACAAGGAGGTGGGTGAGGGTTCAAGGCAGGACAAGGAGCTTCAGAGAAAGCCTGGAGGTGGGAGGGCACAAGGTGAGCTCAATAATGTAGAGATGATGGAAATGTTTGGCTGAAATAATGATTTCCTGTAAAGCAAAGATTGGAAAGTCAGGCTGGGCTTCTGGAGAAGCCTGATTATCTTCCAACATACATGTTATCCACAAAAAGAAGAACAAGAAGGTAAATGTTTCTCAAAAATAAGTATGGAAATTTTGGAAGAATATGAGAAAGTCATTAAGCAAAGCTGCAGGTAAACAACCAAGTAAGCATGAAACAGAGATCAAAATGTGGTAGGGGAGACACAAAGGGCTGGAGGCAATGACGTTGTAAAATATGGCCAATCCCATAAGGCCTGAATAATGGGAGTCACAAATACAGAAAGCAGACTAAATATCTAACTTGGATGGAGAACTGAGGGGACATCTGAAAGCAAGAGGCAGGGCTGAAATCACAAGAAAGATGACCCATATTAACATTTTTTTATGTTCACACAGCCTGGCAGAGAGAACATCCAACTGGACGTGGAGTGGCTCTTACACAAGGATTTGTGGCAAATGGTGTCTACAACAAACAAGGTTTAGGTATCCCATAAGAGAGACCTAAGATTCTAGATCACTCCTGATAGAATACCTACCAAGGAACTTTTTCTTTTCCTCCAAAGTCAATTTGTGTAAAGCCTTCCAAAACATCACTATGGTAGGATGTGAATTATCATATCCCTCTTCATAATGTGCATTCTAGAAAAAAAAAATACACACCAAAAAACCATATTCAGGAAATAATAAACAAGAAATTCAAATTCAAACTTCTAGGCCTTTACGATATACCTTCTCAAAGGTTTCCCAGTCATAATCTGTATTTCCAATAATCACATCCTTTAGTTCTTCCGGATGGAAAAACTCAATAATATCCTTGTCACACACTTTGTAAAATCCTCTTTGGAATTCTTCGTAAAGTGCCTTCACAGAGATGTTGAAGATGTAATTGACATATTTAGAAACATAGTCTCTCCTTTAATGAAACAAAAAATTATTTCAGCTTACTGTAGTACCCTGAAGGAAACTGGCAGGGGGCAGGGAAGATGGGCAGAAAGCCAAAAATAGAATGAGAACTAAAACACCTAACAATTCAGTGCCAAAAAATAGCCATATGCACTTGACCATTTTTCATATATCTAACTTAATCGTCATACAACTCTCAGGGCAGATTCTTAGGACATGTTAGTAAAGAAAAGAAGTTTCTTGGTGAAGTTATATAATAACTCAAGGTCACACAGTTAAATGACACAGATTAGAACAGAGAAAGTGTGGAAGTGTAAAACCTGACCTGCTGATAGTGCTCTGGGAAACAGGCTTGGGAGATGGGAAAAATTTCCCATTTTATTTTATGGTCTTCCATACTGTCTGAATGTATGACAGTAGTTAATATTAGTATTTGTGGTTAAGCACAAATACAGAAGGGATTTCTACATCTAGCTATGATGGGATAGCATACCCCAAATACTCCCAACGAGAAGAACTAGAAAAAGCCAGAGAGTATACAAAAACACATCTAGCTCTAGGCTTCCAAACCTAAGATGCAAGAGGCCTCTGAAGTATTAAGAGAGAGGGGAAGCCCTGCAAAGTGAGCCCAGCATTTTACTTGCGGTTTTTCCCTCTGGGCCATTTGCTGATTCAGGGAAAGCAACTAGGCTAAAAGTAGTTGTGAAGAGGCAGAGAACCTCAGTATGTCTATCAGTGATAATATAGGTGAATTAGAATATTCATAGAACTGTATAACATAGTTCCACAGAACTGGAAATGTTCTATTTCTTGATCTGTATACTAATTTGTATACTTTTCTGTATGTCAGACTTCGAAGTTCTTTTTTAAAAATAAAGATGAAAAGATGGAAGAAAAATAGTTGGCTGGCTTACACCAGAATGCGCATCTGGTGGTATCTCTCTGCCACTCTGACCGACTATCAGTGGAATGTTCTCTCATCCCACACTGTGGCTTTAAAACAGAATCCTGTAAGGGGCTGAGAACTCAAGACACCACAGTACCATGTAGTAACATTATAAATACTAAGTGCCTGCCACAGACCAGTGGCTCTTCTAGGTACTAGATGCACCATGATGAACATGACTAGTCCTTGCCATCAAGCAGCTCACTACAGGAGCTTATTCTGCAGTAGCTTATTTATTATTGGGGAAATACAGGCAAGCAGCAATCCTAAAGGTATGTAATGGGTGATAGGAAAAGAAACAGTGAAACAGGTAAGGAGATAGAAACAGAAGTTAGTGGTATAAACCTAGACAGGACAATAAGGGAAGGCCTCTCTGCGAAAGCTATTTCCTTCCCTACCAGAATATAAACTCCAGGAGACACACACATACACACAATATACACCACCTCGCTGTCTTATTAAAAAGTGATTAATTGGTAAGAACTCTAATACATTTTTAGAGCCCAGTGAAATAAACAGTGTATAAACAAAACAAATATTTCACTTCTCTATACATACTTGTTAGTCTGGTCAACAATGACACAACTTCCATTAGGAATTAGGTCTGTATCATTTTTGTCCCAATGCACCTGTAACCACAAATAAACTCAGATAGTGTCTCCAAAACAATCCAAAGCAATTATCAACAAAAACACCTTAAAGCATACCATTTTTCTCAAGATCTTATAAAAGTACACATTTTTGTCATACAAACAAGGAATGTGCATGTAAAAAGTTACTATCTTATCATGCAGAATGAAAAATTAATTTTTACAAAACTTGATTTATCATACTGAAAAAATTGGGCAAATGCCACATTTCAATAGTCACTTTATATAATTAGACATAGTATGGTGGATTTGCAAAAACAGTCACAACTTCTTCCCAGCCTGGTATTCAAGCCCCTGTGCAGTGTGACTTTGCAATAGCTGTGCAACCCCCCAGCACCCCCACAAAAGGAGGACTTCGGTTCTTCAGCCTTGCATATGGCTGTGGCCATGTGAGCTACTCTGGTCAATAGGCTCTACTGTAAGTAAAAGCTTAAAAAGCCATCTCTTCCCACTCTTTGTAATCCTATGATAGTTCTATAAAGACAAGCCTACTGGAGCACAAGAGACCCCCTAGAACAGAAAAGCTGTTTCAGCCTACATTCCATAACCCAGCCAACAACTGGGTATACGAGCAAGGCAGGTGTAAACCATTCAGCCCAGGCAAGTCGATTCAGGCCAGAAACTCAATGAATTGTGTTTAAGCCACTATGTTTAAGTGCTGTTACATAGAAAAATCTAACTGATAGGCCCAGCTCAAAAAAAGTGAAGAAAAAAAAAACTTCTGCATTAATTCAGAAGTTTGTCCTCTTATTAAAGAGTGATATGTCTAGAATCTGAAGATGTAAAGGATTAATATGGTTAAAACTGATCTGTAATCTGGTTATTATCACTACTCACATTAAAATAGATATAAAATACTTCTCCAAAGTCATCGCCTTCATCATCCAGAAGCGTCTGCAAACTCCTAAAGAATAAATAATTTTATTTTTTAAAAGTCAGTAACTATGATCACTGGACACATCATCTAAATAAATGTCAAATGCAGGACTATTGTGAAGGTGGGAGGTCGGGTCACTAGTTAACAATGCCCATTTCTCTGTGCACTGATAGCCAGACCTCACCGACAGGCGTGAAGTTCCTGAGTATTTGCAATTCTGCAAGCTCTCTTCCCTTTATCCTACCTTCCTTTACTCAGTGATTATAGGTCTCTACAGAAAAGGACTGATAACGTATCTGATACTGAAACTCATTCAAATCAGTGTTACCTTTATTTAAGCTTTTGAACTGTACCTACAGAACAATAATCTCCTTTTAAATGTCAGGTATCACTTAGGAAATTGGAGGAATGAGGTCAGAGCACCTTCTCTGTATCTACTGTCCCAATATCATCAAGCTTAAGACATATATGACAATAAACTACCTTAACTGTTTCAAGACATTTGTGAGAATACAGGTTACACCAACATGGAGAGCAGCCAGTGTTTTTATATCTCCACCCTCTGTTGTCCTATGTACTTCATTTATATTTTTAAAGTCCTGGGGCGCCTGGGTGGCTCAGTGGGTTAAAGCCTCTGCCTTCGGCTCAGGTCGTGATCCCAGGGTCCTGGAATCAAGCCCCCCATCGGGCTCTCCACTCAGTTGGGAGCCTGCTTCCTCCTCTCTCTCTCTGCCTGCCTCTCTGCCTACTTGTGATCTGTCAAATAAATAAAATCTTAAAAAAAGTAATAAAGTCCTATGTCTCATTGTGTTTGCTCATTCTCTCATGTAGTCATTCCACAAACATCTATCAAGCACCCAATGAGGCAGCAATAAGGGATGTAAAGCTGAGACATTACTGTCAATACACTGAGACTCGTAGGTAAGCTATGCAGATGGAAGCTTCCCTACAGCACAGTGAGCTGTGTGCAGAAACTCTGTAAGTGTCCACATACAGCCTTGGTCAACTCTTGCTGAAGGGATGTGTCACCAGTGAAGGCCTCTGGAAGGTGGAATCCAAGCTGACTATCCCCTCCCCCTGGATTTTTTATTACACAGTTGTGAAAAACAGACCATGTGTTATTCATTGTAGGTTTTGGCAGGGGGGCGGTGAGGAGAGGGAGTGATGGGAACTGGCTCATGATACTCTTGTCATTATCTGTCCATGTATATGGCTTATGCGCTAATTTAGGGGTGTTTTTACAAAGAATACTTAGGAACCTGCCTCTTCAAACATTGCTAGTATCAAACATTGCTAGTACCTACCTGTATGGATACCTCCCCTACCCCATTTTTCTACCATCCCCAAAATATGTCACAAATAACAGCTGACATATGTTTAATTGTTAAATGTTTAATTAAAAAAGGGAGCGTTGTCCCCTTTTGTTAAGGTAGCTCATGAAGAACAGATAAATTCTTTAATCTTACTGCAGTTAAAACTTATCATCTTTCCTTCAATATTGGTAATTTTGATGTCTTTCTTAAGACTGCTCAGTGGGTTAAAGCCTCTGCCTTCGGCTCAGGTCATGATCTCAGGGTCCTGGGATTGAGCCCCGCATCAGGCTCTCTGCTCAGTGGGGAACCTGCTTCCCTTCCTCTCTCTCTGCCTGCCTCTCTGCCTACTTGTGATCTCTGTCTGTCAAATAAATAAGTAAAATCTTTAAAAAAAAAAAAAGACTCCAAAAGCAAGGAAGATATTTGTCCATACTTTCAACATTTTTGCTTTACTATTTAAGTCCTTCACCCACATGAACCTGATTTCTGCATACGCCATAAGGCATCAATGATCATTTTTCCCCATATGCATGAACTGACAGTCCTGTTCCCACTAATCCAGTGTACTACCTCCAGCAAGTTCCACAAGCGCCTGGATTAGTGTCTGAACTCTCACTTTTCTTCCATTGAAAACCTGCACCCACTGTACTGTCCTCAATTAATACAGCTTTCTGAAGATTCTGAAGACCTAAAAGCATGAGGAACACTGATACAGATTTAATGATCTTTACATTTATTAAGTTGATGTGTATTAAGTCTTCTTAGGCATAAGCATTATTTAGGTCATTTTCACTGTTTCAGTTAAAAACAATAAATTTATCTCCTCCTTGCCCAATCTTGTGCTTCTGATGTTTTTCCTTATCTTATTAGTATAATTAGTAATAATGATTAATAGTTGGATGCTGGAGCCAGACTCTGTTCAATTCATGGTTCTGTCACTATGGGGTCTCAGACAAGTTACCCAAACTGTGTTTGTTCCTTACCTGTGAAGTGGGGATAATAATAATAGGATCAAGGCACCTAGATGGCTCAGTCTGTTAAGTATCTAAACTCTTGATTTTAGCTTAGGTCATGATCTCAGGGTCATGAGACTGAGCCCTGCAGGAGCTTGCTTTGAGATTCTCCCTCTCTCCCACTGGCCTGCTCAGTTTAAAAAAAAAAAAAAAAATCATACTACCATTCTCATTCTTTTAAAAATCTACATAGGATTTCATTGCATAAATATATCAAAAGTAAGTAATTCCCTTATTAAAGAACATGTAGGTAATTCCACAGATTATGAACGATGTAATGTAATATACATTAGTATGGAAACAGCCTTGCATGATTGTATTATTTCTGAAATTAAATGTCTAGAGACAAAACTGCTAGGCTAAAGTGGCAAATACATTTCTGATTCAGGTAAGTACTGTAACACTGTTCTCTGAAAAGGAATCACCAACTCATACGTCCACTATCAACCCCTGAAATTAGAGCAAACCTTTTCCCAAACCCTGGCAAACACCATATAGCATCAGTATTTCCAACCACTGTAAATGGGCAGCAGATTGGCCTCTGATTTTCATCTCCATTCCATGAGCACTGGGGAGGTGAAGCCATTCTGTTACTCCTTTGTGGGTTAACTTCCTTTCTATATGTCCATTTTTCTTATGGATGTTGAGGAAACTCAACATACAGCAGGAATATCACCCCTTTCTATTACCAGTATTTTTTGTGAGGTGGTGGCTTGGCTTTTTAACTTAGAAGTAAATTTTCATTTTAAAGGTGAGGATAAGAAACAAGATTTAAAACATACGTCACTTGCAAATTCACACCAGGGTATAACTTATGCTCTGCCCATGACGGTTTCTACACAAGGTTCAAAGAATAATATAAGCATTAAGGACCAATCATAGGGGAAATCGACTTCTCTTAATTTGAAAAGTTAAATTATTATCTAACAGTTCTTCCCAAAATAATACTTGACCTAAGGTACCTAGAATGTTGCTGCTGAACATGAAAATGCTTTTGGGTGGGGAGGTGTGTTTATTTACAGGCGTACCTTGGAGTTACTGCAGGTCTGATTCCAGACACTGCAATAAAGCAATTATCCAAACAGACACAAGTCAAGAAGAATTACTTGGTTTCCCAGTGCATTTAAAAGTTCTGTTCACACCACACTATAGTAAGTGTGTAACAGCATTATGTCTTAAAAATGTGCATGCATTAATTTAAAAATACTTTAATGTTCAATCATCAAGTAGTTTCACTTACTTGTGGAACATAAGGAATAGCATGGAGGACATCAGGAGAAGGAAAGGAAAAATGAAGGAGGGGGAAGTCAAAGGTTCTCATGAACCATGAGAGACTGTGGACTCTGAGAAACAGACTGAGGGTTTTGCGGGGGTGTAAGCCTGGTGGTAGATATTAAGGAGGGCACATACTGCATGGAGCACTGGGTGTTATACATAAACAATGAATCCTGGAATACTACATCAAAAACTAATGATGTACTGTATGCTGACTACCATAATAAAAAATAATAAAAAAATAATAATAAAATAAAAATAAAAATACTTTAATGCTCACCATCCTCTGAGCTCTCAGCAAGTTGTAATCACTGATCACAGATCACCATAACAAATAGAATAGTAATGGAAACATTTGGAATACTGTGACAATTACCATAAATATGACAGAGAGACCCTAAGTGAGCAAATGCTATTGCAAAAATGGCTTGCTTAAACACAGGGTTGCCACAAACCTTTGATCTATAAAAAAAAACTATTTTTTTTTTATTTGACAGGGAGAGAGAGATCACAAGTAGGCAGAGAGGCAGCGGGAAGCAGGTCCCCCACTGAGAGCCCGATGCGGGACTCGATCCCAGGACCCTGAGATCATGACCTGAACCGAAGGCAGAGGCCTAACCCACTAAGCCACCCAGATGCCCCTGTAAAAAACACTACTATCTATGCACATACTATCTATGAAACACAAGGTAATGAAACGAGGTATACCTATATCTAAATATGTATTATGTAGAGTTCTAGAAAAAAAACTATGCTACTTACTTTCCCAAAACAGGACTCAGTTCTTTTAAGTCTTCCAATGATGGTGTTTGATTCAAAAGTTTCTTAAACAGGGCCAGTGGGAAAGGGATGTTGGCAACATTGAAATTGAACAGGGAAAGTCCACAAAGAACCCCGAAGAAGAAATATCTCTTCTTCTCAAATTTAGGCTGAAAAGAGAAAAAAATTTAATGTCTTTTAATTTTTACAAGTAAAATGGAATATTCATATTCGCTAAACCTTTTCTCCCTTTCACAAAGTCAAATCGCAAATTAAAATCAAAAAGGTTGCGGGGCCCCTGGGTGGCTCAGTCAGTTAAGCCTCTGACTCGTGATTTCGCTCAGGTCACGATCTCAGGGTCGTGAGATGGAGCCTGTCGTCAGGTTCCACTCTCAGTAGGAAGTCTACTTGAGATTCTCTGTCTCCCTCTCCCTCTGCCCCTCCCCCACCCTGCTGGCTCACACACTCTCTCTCAATAAACAAAATCTTAAAAAAAAAAAAAAAAGTAAAGCTTGTGATAAGAATATTTAGGGTTTATGTGCAGTCATTAAGTCAAGTTAAATCTCTGCTACAGGGACACTAATAGAACCACATTAGGCTCAGCAAACCCTCAAAAACTAGTTTTCACTTTCTTTTCATGCTTTCAAAAGAAAATTTGAAAAGAAATTTTCAAATTCACAAGGAAAAATAAAACTGAGCAAAAAAATGGGCACCTGGGAAAGGAAGGGTTCCTTTTCATCCAAACATTCTATTAATGGTCAAAAACATACACTGTTTAAGTTTTCCTGTGTGGGCAGAATTGGGAACACAGGGGAAGGGGACTCCATTTTAAAGAAAATAATCACCTTATTAAAACTGAAGGCTATTTCCGTAATTATATGTATCAATAACTCCTCTCCTAAAATGAAAATGTCTAGACAACCTAATTTCCAATGGTGTGTGACATGCCTTTTCTGTGTTGATAATTGTAAGCAAAAAGGAGAAGACTCACCCTGACAGGAAACCACATGTAGGAAGCCTCCTCGGGATACATGAACATCCCATATTCTGGTCGGGTCATCTCCTCAAACAGACAGTGGAAAAACTCTACCTTGACTCCTCCAGAGTCATGTCCAATTTCTCCACTAAATGAAACCTGAAGAAACACAGCAAATAATATATCACTTCCAAGGCTCTGTATTGCTATGTATTAAGACTCACTTAATAATCATAAGAGTGAACATTATTTATGGACCCAAGTATTTGGTAAGCACTAAGCATCTTACTCGTTTAATCTTCACAGTAATTCTATGAGGCGATGAGCTTCAAGAATTTAAATATTGGGGCACCTGGGTGGCTCAGTGGGTTAAAGCCTCTGCCTTTGGCTCAGGTCATGATCCCAGGGTCCTGGGATCGAGCCCCGAGTCGGGCTCTCTGCTCAGCAGGGAGCCTAGCCTGCATCCCTTCCTCTCTGTCTGCCTCTCTGCCTACCTGTGATCTCTGCCTGTCAAATGAATAAAATCTTAAAAAAAAAAAAAAAAGAACTTAAATATTAACTTCCCAAGGTCACACACAGCGAAGGGGTGCAGCCTAGATTTAATCCTGTATCTGTCAAGCCTGTTATCTTCAGCTACTAAGCTGACCTCAATTGGCATCATTATTATGTAATAAGGAACGTTAAGTTAAATGAAAATAAACATAAAGAAATAAATAATAGTTGGATTTTCAAAGGCTGAAAAACCAGAGCACACACAAGTTACCTACTGGCTTCGTTGTTTACTCCTTGAGAAGATACCCAGGGACACCAATCTCTTCCTAGGATGATTCTACCATAACTCATCTTTGCTCCTTCAAATACTCACTCATTCCTGCCCTTCCTCCTTAGAATCCCTCACTTCAGTGTACAAATATGTTGAGTTTTCCCTTACTCTTAAAAGAAGAAAATCTCAACACCACTGTCTCATACAGTGAATACTGGCTTCTACTCTAGGTCACCAAATTCTGGAGAATCAGGTACACCAACTTCCAAAACTATTTCCCTACTTAAGTGCTCTCTTCAAGAGGACCAAGAACCTGTGAACCCCTGAATTCCGAGGACCGTTCGCACGTCTCCTCTCCCTGATTTCATGAGCTCATTTTACACTTCCGATCCCCTCTTCTTTCTTCACACTGTTTTCTCCCTTACTTTCTCTTATGAAGCATTAACTAGGTTTTTTATTTCTCTCTTCTTTTTCCTGCTGCTTTAATATGAGAAATTCTTGCAGTTCTGCGCTAGTTCCACCTTTCCACTTTCCCTGGATGCTCGATTTCTCTTTAAACTTCCCCTACCACCTGCAGCCATTTAACCCTCCTCTCCACTCTACCTTCTCTCTGACTGACGCACACTCCTGTGCAAAGGCCTGCTCAAAGTTGCCTTCAGGATGTTCCATGGCACTTCCCCAAAAGCTCCTTTTACTGCTTTAAATGGATGGATGCCTCTTCTATTTTCTAGAGATGTGAGTTTCAAACCTCAGTAAATTACTCAAAATCTTTAGAAGACGAGGTATTGGGGCACCTGGGTAACTCAGTCAGCTAAGTGTCCAACTCTTGGTTTTAGCTCAGGTCATGATCTGAGGGTCCTGGGATCAAGCCCTGTGTTGGGCTCTCTCCTCCATGTGGAGTCTGCTTGGGAGTCTCTCCCTTTCCCTTCCCCTTTGTCCCGTCTCTCTAAAAAAAATAAATAAGTAAAATCCAAGTTGTCAAATCCTTACTCTGTCCCTTCCTATGGGCAAGGTTCTTCATCTCACAGAGCCTCAGTTTTCTCACGAGATTATCAGAAAGATTAAACAGAAAAACATATGCAAAACGCCTCTCACAGTCTTGAAAATGGTGGCTGCTCATCAAATGTTACCTAAATGTTTAAAAGGGATGATGAACTATAAAAGTGGAACTAAAATAACTCAGTGGGCTGGCTTGCCATCACAGGTTAAGATTTACATAATGAGTTTGTTAGATTTTTAAAAACTACCTATATGCAAAAATATGTGGCAATGCTACCTCTAACCACAAACCCCAGTGCAATATACTTTTAAAATAGTGTCTTGAACTTGAGTCAAGTCATTCTTTAATCTGAGTAGGAGAAGTGATAAACTAAGGTCTATCAAAACATTCTAATAAATATCATCAGGCAAATCTTTGTCGTGATTAAGTGGAAAGTCTGGAGCCTAACAGTTGGGCCCAAATCCTGGCTCTGATACTTCTCAGCTGGATTGCCCTTGGGTAAGTCACCATTCTGTACCTCAGTTTCCACATCAGCAAAACAAAGGAAAAACAGAACCTTCCATGCAGTGTCACTGAAAGGGTTACATAAATATTTGTGAAGCATTCATAGTGTTCTTGGCACAAGGAAAATGTTCATCAGATTCACTAGATATTATTATTATCCTGTGTCCAATATCTACTAGTAAGACAAGTTATAGAATAACTAAACCAGAGATCATTTATGTTCAGAACATGGGGCTTTCTAAAATAATACCCTCAAAAAACTACAGTTAATAAAGAGGAAGTTCTCTTTTCCACAAAGCAATCTGCGTACATGTATGAGAGCAGAAACTAATCCTCAAATCTCTGTGTCAACCTCATCTCACTGGAACCCTCCCCAGGGGGTGACTAGTTAGGCTGGGTCAGGCCTCAGGAAGGACTGGACCTTTTACGGGTAGTTCTGGAATTTTTAGCTGCCCAGGCTGGGGGAGGACAACCCTTTCAACCGCTGCTCCTCAGCCCGAGGGCAACTAAGTGCCCGCAGCTATTCCCAGGGATTCACAGCTACATGGGGAATCGGGGCAACACTCCACGGCAAAGGGAGATTCTTTCTTCTCTGCAAGACCCACTGTCCATCCTTTTATGTTTTCCTTCTCTCAGCAGCAAAAATATTGAGAATTATACTTTACCATTAACTCTCTCCTCAGATCTTCATTCTCAAACTGATTTAGGTGACTCAAAACATCTTCAATCAAGTGACTCCTTCTAACTGTTAGATTCAAAGTGGGCAGCAAAGCTAATTCAGACCCTCCTTGTTCCACAATTCCAGCCAACCGCATACATGCTCTAAATTTCTTCTCCTAGGAAAACAGAAATGTTTCACTTATTTCACCATTTGCTCTAAGTGGGAATTTGGTTCCATTTATTATGAGTGCTTGTCACGAACATTCATGAACAGAGCCTTATTTACATAAGCCACTGGAGAGAAGCCATACATTCAGCATTCACCCTCTGTGAGCCGAAGAAACACCTGGAGGATGAAAAATTTTGTGGAGCCAACCAGTGTCAGCAGGAAAGTGACCAGGTGTGGCCTCCACTGGTCCACTTTATCTGGCAACAATTATTAATACTTCAGCTACCAAAGCTAACTGCCATCATTAGGTTAAGAGAATGATTAGCAAGCACTGAAGCAGTGTGCTGAACATAACCTCCTCATTTGGAAAAGAAGTTCAGAAAGAAAGTATGCTGCAGGAAACTTCAGGAATGAGACCCCTTTAAAGATATCCTATGCTAGGAGAAAAACCCAGTGAGAGATTTTAGGGCACAGATAATCTAAAATTTAGTTATATATGAGACAGAAAGACAGATGTGTGCACACGCGCGCGCGCGCACACACACACACACACACACACACACACACACTGTCTATCTGACCAAATGGCAATTCAAGTCTAAGGCTCTCAGCACAATGAACAATCAAATACTAGGTCCATAAAATTATCACTGGAGGCCTGCTAAAAATTAGAAGAGGAGTTGTAAGAGTTGAAGGAAAATAAAGTTCTTGTATCTTTTTTCCTTTCATATTTCCTTTGTTAAATATTTCATCAATGGTCATATTTATAAATCAATTTCCCATTTTGTTTTATAGTGGTTAACTGCATTATATAAAAGTATCCAATGTTATGACCTATATTTGAATATGATTTGCACATATACATATCCAGATGCATATATAAAAGCAGTAACAAGAGCAGCACTCTTGCGCGCTTTCATTTCCGGAGGCATTTTCGATAGTTCAGTTTTAAGTTCAAAATCACTTTTTGGATATGTTGACAAATAGAACCAACTCACCCGATGACAGGTCACTGAAAAGAGGACACTTTTTACAAACCTTGATCATGGCACCATTAGACTACCAGCCATCTATGTGTGTCCGCATTGAAGAGTCCTCTGTCCCCTCTATTCCCACTGCTCTGTTTTTTAATTAGTCTGGGCTCCTTAAATATGGGTTTGCTAATCCCAACCAAGCCCAAGTCTACTATGCCTCTTTTGGTACTGTACAGAAGACCTGTATACAGGGCCCAACCTCAAGGCAAAAGCCCCACAAGCTAGGGGAGCTGTCCATGCTGCTCTCTCTTCCACTGCTGAGGCCCTAATGTGCCTCAAAGCCAGGCCAATCCAAATTACGACAGTCTTTCTTGCCACCTTTGGTAGTCTAAGCTCCATGAATGTTATAACCATTGTTTTCAATGTTATCAACCCCCAAAATATTGTATACTTAAGAAGGCATTTATCATCTGATTTGTTAATGAAGACAAAGAAATAGGCATACATACCTGTATTTTTAAAAGTGAATCTGCATACAGTAGTTTGATTTTCGACAGAATATTAAAGATAAATGGAAAATGGCTGAATATGACAGGATACTGAGTGTCTACTGAAGTGTCCTAAAAATGGAAATGGCAAGAATTCTGACAAATGAAAAGAACAGAGAAATCTTACACCTTAACTCACAGCCTAAAATCCCTGATACTTAGTTTAAGGTCTCAATTCTTCTAGCAGAAGCAATCCAAATTGCTGGTCAGTAGTACTTAGATACCTAAAATTCTAAGAAAATGTTTTGTGTGTATCAATGAGAGATATCTAAACCTAGTACTTAAAAATAAATAAATAAAAATTGAGCTAGTATTTTTCAGTGCTCATTTAACTTAGCAATCAATTGTAAACTCTAGACACTTTCCCAAAGAGTTTGTTCTGCAGCAATGTGCACTTTCAAAATGTAAATTAGTTCAGATGCACTGAGGAAAATAGGTGAATGATATAATGTGGATAGGTGCTGAGCTCGTACTTGACTTCTGCCAGTTAAGGGTCAACGTGCTAGGGACAGAATTCCAACATTCAGAGAGAAGGAAAAAAAGCTCAGGTCAGCTGCTGAACTGGCAGGAACAGCCCTTCAGCTTCAATTTCAGAAAATAAAAAAAGGACACACCCAGAGCCACCACCAAAGTTGCAGCCTCATTCTGCTTGCTGGCTCCTGGTGAGTCATGCTGCTTTGTACACCCACCTAAGAAAGCCCCACTCCCATCTGCACCATCTCAGTACCACCAATTCTCTCATTAGAGTGTGAGTACATTTCTACCCTTTAGTTTGGTGCATTTTCATATTCTTGGGGCGCTCTCCAAGAGCTGCTTACCTGGTTGATCCAAGTGATCTAAGGTAGTAACCACTTTTCTATGAGGGCTCTGGCTACAAAACTGCATTGGTTTTGAGGGGACTACCTCGCTTTTCCTGTAAGCCCTGTTATTTCTTCTGAGCAATTTTGCAGGGTACAAGGATTGGAAACCCATGCATAAGAGTTATAGCACAAATACCTACATTAACTCACTCCCCCCTCTGAACATACCCTAATGGGGTGACTGGCTGGTTTGGTTGGTAGAGCATGCAACTCTTTATCTCATGGGTTGTGAGTCTGACCTCTCACACTGGGTGTACAGATTAGTTTTAAAAAATAGAATCTTTACTAAATAAATAATAAACACACTATACTTACAGAGTTAATTTTCCAAGCAGACCTTCTGTATGCATCCCCATAAAAATCAAGCCAGTGCGTAAGCTCGTTTACTTTGAAAATATTTTCAGGTAGTTGACACACGGCCTGGTTTACCTTTAATAAAATATGGCCCATGAGAAAGTTTTATATATAAAAAGACAATTCTGCTTTATGGCTGTTGATTAGATTATCAGCATAAACAGCAAATTAAACACTCTTTTTCAATGACCAGAATAAAGTTCTATCCAATTCCTCCACTGGCCAAGGCCCAAATTTTCAGGAACATAAAGAATACCTACAATTTAATAGCAGAAATTGATGATATGATGATAAACTTACTCATACTTACTTTTAATTCATAGAAAAGCTTTAAAGAATTTTAGGTCCAAGGAAAAACACAGCCTAAAATCACAGCCTAAATCCAAAGTACTCTGGGGCCCAATATATCATGTCCTGTTCTTCAGGGCTTAACAATATACCATTTACAGACGTCTCCCTCTGATAGGGCATGTGTGGAACACCCCCCTCCTAAACTGGGGTGGGGGGTGTCTTCCAGCCTTCATCGCCCGATGACCAGGGGTATCACGTGGACGCCCTACGAGAGCACTAACCATCGGTCAGTGAAGACACTGATAATGACACTACCTGCTTTGGGCGTGAGTAACAGTAGGTACTTGACATGATGAGCACAGTCCCCGCCTAAATGACTCACTCTCAAGACGTCCTCTAAAAGCTCCTCTTGGCTTCCATTCACCTGGAATATTGTATTAACCCTGACCTAGACCCTAGATGATCCAAACCTCCAGCACCACCACCCAGAGCATCATGAAGCTATTTCAACTCCATGATATGGTCCGCTGGAACCTGCTGATCTCAGCCTTGCACATCCCCAGTTGTGGAAAAAGTGAGTGTTTTATCCTTGTGGCTTCCTGTGGTCTTCCTCCTGAGGTTGGGGAGGGAGCCTGACAAATAATCTAATGTCACCGTTAAGAGTCAAAGGATAGAGCAGGATTTCTTGAGGATTCTTGTTACTGCTTCAGTATTTCTCAGGATTCCTTTTTTGCAAGTGGAAAAAGCTCATGAGAATATACTTTCCTGTACTTTTTGGTAAATTTCTCAATTTCTCAAAACTCAAATTATTTTTTTTTATTAATCTTTCTCTTTTGTACAAAACCTTTAAAAGTAGCCAGAGATGAAGGCCACTGATTTCAGCAGTATGGCAGAATTCTCTTTTTTTAAAGCAGTTTGGCAGATTAGGTGTCTTTATTTGCTGAAAACAATCAGAAATACAAGATGAAGTGTAAACAGATATTTTTAATGCAACACCAATATTGTAAGTAGATATGACAACCAGGTCAAAAATGAGGTGAAAGTGGCATTTGCCTTCAGAGTATTTGCCAAACCTGGAGAACTTAACTTCAGTCTGCAATGCCTGGGGCTTTGGGGAATGGAGACAAAACCCAGATTCTGTTCAAATTATGGGGCCAATGATAGAAAACTATCTCATAAATCAGGCATCCAAAAGGGCTAAACCATCAGAATGAGGGTAAGCTAGAAATGAACAGTCCACCACCGTACCTTGACACCAACTCCAGGAAGCAAACCGCAGCTAGTCAAAATGGTGCCAAGTTGCAGGAAAAAAAGTCACCTACAGAATTTGCAATCACAGAAGCACTTTCCTGAAAATTCACACACCATATTCAGACCACACCTGGAGATCTGAAGAGCTTCAAGCCAAGAATTTAATTTAACCATAGTACCTAACAGATGTGGTGTCTCTAGGAACCTGGTACAAGAAAATCTTCCTGGAGAAACACAGCCCTCAAAGAATTCCAGAAGATAATGTTCCAAGGAAAATGTGTGTGTGTGTGTCTCTCTCTCACACACACACAGTCACTAAACACAAAAATGAAAGCACACATGAGGAAGATTCAGCAGAAGGAAGAGGGCAAAGCTGACCTGTAATGACTTCAGATACCAGAGGTATGATGCATAAGTAAGCAGAAGGAAAGCTTGAAAATAAAAGACTCAGATACCATAATACTGACCAACAAAAAATTTTCAAAGAAACGAACTTCTGGAAGTGGAAAACATAATACTTGGAATGAAAACCCAAAGGGCAGTTTTATTAGCAGACAAAAATCACTAAAAGGAGATTTCATGGACAGAAAAATATGGCTCAAGAAGTCATTCAGAATGGGATGCACTCACAGGGAGAGATGGATAAGAGACATGAAAGATAAGACTGAGAAAGTCAAACATACAAATTAACTCGAATTTCAGCAGGAAAAGAGGGAGTCAGTATTTGCATGGATTTAAAATGTTTAATATTTAGGAACAACCTTTACCTATAAGGGTTATTTTAAAAAACTCTACAGTAAACATCCTATTTAATAGTGATATTCAAATTCTTCCTTTAAAATCACAAACAGGGGCACCTGGGTGGCTCAGTGGGTTAAAGCCTCAGCCTTCAGCTCAGGTCATGATCCCAGGGTCATTGGGCTCTGTGCTCAGCAGGGAGCCTGCTTCCTCCTCTCTCTCTCTCTCTCTCTGCCTGCCTCTCTGTCTACTTGTGATCTCTGTCAAATAAAAAAATAAAATCTTGGGGCGCCTGGGTGGCTCAGTGGGTTAAAGCCTCTGCCTTCGGCTCAGGTCATGATCCCAGAGTCCTGGGAAAGAGCCCCGCATCGGGCTCTCTGCTCAGCAGGGAGCCTGCTTCCCTCTCTCTCTCTGCCTGCCTCTCTGCCTGTGATCTCTGTCAAATAAATAAATAAAATCTTAAAAAATAAAATAAAATAAAATCACAAACAACTGAGAGCTGCTGGAGGGGGGAGGGATGGGGAATGAGGTAACTGGGTGATGGACATTAAGGAGGGCATGTGAAGGAATGAACACTTAAGTGTTATGTAAGACTGATGAATCACTAACATCAACCTCTGAAACTAATAATATACTATATGTTAACTGAATTTAAATAAATATTTAAAAAAATAAAATCATAAACAAGGGGCACCTGGCTGGCTCAGTCTGGACAGTACGTGATTCTTGATCTTGGGGTTGTGAGTTCAAGCCCCACATTGGGTGTAGAGATTACTTCATAATAAAATCAAACCTTTAAAAATAAATAAATAGGGGCATGTGAGTGGCTCAGTCAGTTAAGAGTCTGCCTTTGCCTCAGGTCATGATCCCAGAGTCCTGGAATCAAGCCCCACCTTCAGACTCCCTGCTCAGTGGGGAACTTGCCTCTCCCTCTCCATCTGCCACTCCCCCTGCTCGTGCTCTCTTACTCTGTCAAATAAATAAATAAAAATTTAAAATAAATAAATAAATAAATAAATAAATAAATAAATAAAATCACAAACAAGGTAAAGAACCTACCATCATCAACCCTTCTATTCAACATTATAGAGGAAGGCTTAGCCAGTGCGGCATGGAAAAGGAAAGTAATAAAATGTGTATGAATTACTTCTCTTCAAACTACACACAGATAAGTACATACTCTCTTTGATACACATGACTTAACTCACAGAAAACAAAAATTTAAAAATAGCAATCTAAACATGTTTCCCGAGTTTGCTTAATATTTGGGCCAGTTGAAACCAAGGGACCTTTTTTACTGCAAAATAAAAATCGTATCTGTAAGTGTCTGAAAGACCCTTACCCTATGCAGCTTTTTCAGTATTTCTAGGAGAGCCTTAACGTGGTAGTTGTTCTCCGAGCTTTCAGTCCAGTAGTGCAACTGAGCAGTGACGGCTCTTTTAAACATCTGGACTAGCCTGACGAATGCAGGTTCCTGCAGGGACGCCCAGTACTCCTCTGAGGAATACAAACATAAACAATTGTTGGCATGTCATTTCTCTTGGCTTTTTAAAGGTAAACAGATTGAACACTGTCAATTCTATCAGTTACAAAAACATATTTGGATAAAGTTTTTAGTTAACTACAAAGGCAATCAAGTAAGTTCATGAATTTAATGTCCTTGAGAAAAATCCCTTGATATAACAAACACATGAACCTGATTTAATTAATTTGTGGGAAAAAAAACCTGACAAGTCACTTTTTTTTTTTTTTTTTTCCCAGATCAAATAGCATGTTGTTTTAAAAACCAGACTTAAGAATTAATTGCAATTGCACAACTTTCTTCTTCTCACTCCCAGCATGAGTTTTGAACTCTTAAACACTTCTCAGGGCACCTGGCTGACTCAGTAGAGCATGGGACTCTTAATCTCAGGGTTGTGAGTTCAAGCCCCACATTGGGTGTGGAGCCTACTTTCAAGAAAACACCTCCGGGGGTGTCTGGCTAGCTCAACAGAGCATGTGACTCTTAATCTCAGGGTCATGAGTTCAAGCTCCCATGTTGGTCCTAGAGCTTACTAAAAAGAAAGCACACACACACACATGCACCTCTCAGCATTGTGAAAAACCAAAAAATGCTTTACACTAGTTTTTCATCACTCACTTACCTAGATTTAATAAAAAACATTAAGAAAGAATGGACTTCCTTGGGCTGAATATGCTATTTGTCAAAATAAAAACCTCATTAAAATCTAATCAAGCCCCTAGACCTAACTTCTAATGCCCCTGAAGTAGAGAAGGCTGGAAATAATCAGACAAATTTACATGTAGGGCGTTCTACAGGACAACTGACCTAGACTCTTAAAAAAAAAAAGGGGGCTGTAAAATACTTTTATGACAAGTACAGAAATTTGAGTATGGCCTAGATATTATGGAATTATAACTAATTTTATTAGGTGTGATAGTGATTGGTTTAACACAGGCTCTTAATAGATGCATGCTGAAATATTATGGGTGAAATGTCATGACATGTCCAACTTATTTTCAAGTATTTCAGCAAACATGAAATGTAAGCTGCTCATAAAGAACGAAGCACACATGGCAAGAGGTTAACTGTTGTTGACTCTAAGGCAGAGGATATATGGATATTCGGGTACTATTCCTCCAACTTCTATGGAATTTTTCATAATGAAAAGTTGGAAACAAAGGACTTCATGACCAAACCACGTATGTACCATTACAAGAATTCTAAAAAGGTAGCAAAACAACCTATTTTGGATGACTACAATATTTACTACAGCATCTTTACAATGTGCTAAGAATATGAACTAAAAAACAGTAACATAGTTAACAATTATCTAAGTTTTGCTATAACTTTACCAGGTGTGCATTTCCACTGAGAGGATGGTTAAAGTATTTTCAAAATGTAAATCATCAGTCTTACCTAGAACCCGTAAAGATTGGTCATTCATGGCACAAATAGCCTCTGCAAACGGAACCACCAGGCTCTCCCAATTGTTATAATCATGCATCATGGGACACTCAGGGAGAAGGAAGAAAATCTCTAAAGCTTCTTGGTGTGGAGAATGAAATGGAAGATTTTTGAGCAGATTATCCCTGAGACATGTGGTTATCTGTGGTCAAAAAGATCAGGGAAAAGACACTCAAAACACAGCAAGAACTAGATGCAATTTGTAATACAATCTAGAACCTGGAGTTTCATTCCACCAAGGAACTGGAATAATCATTCAGTCCTAAAACCCATGTTTACATCCAATCTCACATAGCTTCCCAACTACTCGAGGTATAGATACGTGACAAGCGTCATCCCATTTAATTACTGAGAAGCATGAAGGAGGTAGAGAAGAAATCATCTTAAAGTTATACTGGATGAACAAGGAAATCAAAATAGGCAGCCCTCCCAATAACAAATACTACATTCTACACCCTCATTCCACTATCCTACCTCATTATCTTTAAAGAAAAAGAATGCATAAGAACCCCCAAAAGCAACATGAAGTAACCCCACACGAACAAAAAGCAATAACCCCAGCAACAAAAATAGCATGGTTTCCTCACAGGACCACCTGCCTCATCACCAACTCTCCACTACAAACTCAATCTTTTAGTCCTTCCATCTCCATTTACCATTTCCCCAAATCAGAACACAAGCATTCCAAGAAAAATTCAAATGCAATTCTGAATGTTTATGTTAGATGTGCCCAGATAAAAGAAATAATTTGTTTCAAAATCCACTGAGAAGCTGTACTTATTTAGGAGTACTCATTTGTCAAGTATTATGCTAAGTGCTTTACATATGTTAATCAGGTTATAGTTCTTCGAGAACATAGATGGTATTTTACCCCATTTTATAGACAGGAACTCTGTATCTGCTCAAAGTCACAGAGCTAAGTGGGAATCTCTTCTGGATCTTTCTGACACCAAAACCCAATCTCTTAATCATTAAATTATGATATGGACTAAATGATGTCTCTAAATGGACAAATTCTTGTAATTATCTATTTCTGTATCAAAACACTATAGCAGGATCTACTACATGGTTCAGTCTTTGGAGTGAACATATCTGATTACTCTAACACCTCCCGGTAACACACACCCCTCCTACCTCAGTGCTCATCAGCTGCCATATCACCCAACCTCCCAGCCTTCCCCTTAGACCTGCAGAACTACTGTGATCCTCTCACGTCAGCCATCTTGTTCCACACACTTGTGCCTCAGTGTACTTTCCTGCCTGCCAGGAATGCCCCTCCTGAGGTAGGCACATGGTAAACTCGTACTTCCTCTGGGGACCTTGATTTGATTGCTCTAAGTAGAGATGACCATTCATTGCCCTAGTGATGACTGAATTCATCCAGAAATATTAATTATACACTAACTAGATTCTAAGTGTGGCTTCAGGGAAAGCAGCGGAGCGTAAAACATACCCAGTCTTCCCACTAATACCTGCGTGTTCGTCTTTGTCCCTAACTGTTTTAAAGACTGGGAGCATGTCTCTTATTTTCACCAGGAGTCCACACCACAGTGCCCTACACAGAGCAAGCATCCAAGAGTCTACTGAATGAAGGAATGAACTGCAAAAGTCTGTGAATCTGTGTCCCAGAAATCTCAAAATAGAAAGAAACATTACAGGTTTTCTTAGCCAACTATCTGGCCTAAATAACGGGAAGACTGCTCTATGATTGTGCTGACTGCATATCATACAATATTGTTCTGGTACAACCAAGGTACAATTAGCTTTAGTGAGGAACTGGCCCAAATTCTTCCCTCCACAGATGCAGAAGTGGTATCTTCATACTAAATGCTGCAGAGTTCTGACAAAGGTACACAATTAGGGATCCATTTTACCTTAACCCCTAACAGGGCCATGGTCCTGCCAAGGTTAACAGAATTAGACTTTCATCTTCCCTCAAGAGAAAGGAGTGTGTGTAAAGAGACCCTGAAGCTCAGATAGAGAATGCTGGTTTTAGAGGATAGAGCAGAACAGGTGAGGCAGGAAAGGAAGGAGGGAGAGATGATAGGGAGACTGAGAGATAATGAGAGGTACAGAAACAGAGGCCAAGAGCAAATGAGAAGGAGAGGGGGAGAGGGAGGAGAAAGGAATGGAAAGAGGGGAAATGGGGGACAGGGAGGAAGAAAGAAGGGGAGGAAAGAGGGGAGAAGAGGAAAAGAAAGCACAGGGGAAGGGGGGGGAAGGGAGCAGAAGGGAGGAGCAAAGAAAAGGGAGGGGGGAGGGAAGGGAGACGGAAGAGGGGCCCAGGGAGAGAGAAAAGGAACCAGAGTGACACCAGGAAAGAAACAGATTGAGAGAACATAGAAAGTACTACCCCTAGATAAACCGATATTAAGAGAACAGAGAAATAAATAGAGACTACATCAAGAAAGGCTAAACTAATGAAGGAAACACGTTTGGAGCATTTGGCAAAGTGGGAAACCTAAGGACAATAATAACAGTACTGAAACAAAGAGCAACAATCCCCCAAAGAACATTCTGGAACCTACAGAAAGGAAGTGCAATAGAACGAAACACAGAGAAAAAGAATCCAGATAGTCCCGGGTAAGGGGGATGTTCATAACAAAAAGTGTTCTCATGTCTATACCTATGTTTAAAATAATTACAGATAACACGTCTTTGTGTTCTAGTTTACCAACCTCAACAAATCCTTCAGTCATCTTCCTTATAGCCTGAGTTGACTAAATTCCCTCCAGAGAGTGTGTACATCTATGTACAGATTGTGTATGTGTGTCTGTGTGTGTGTGTGTGTGTGTGTGTGTATGCTATTTGTGGGTACAGACGAACCCCCGAGACTACTTGTCATCCATGGGATTACCAGAGCAACCAATTTGCCCCAAAGGGACCAACTCCTGAACGCCGTCTGACTTTCACCAGATCTGGATATGCTACAGGGTCTGAAACTGTCCTGAAACAAAGTATTTCTTCTCAAATTTTGAATTGTCAAAAAAAAAAAAAAAAAGACGTTTTAATGTATTTTCTTTTTCTATATAAGAATCTAAAGAATACCACCGTGTTAGCAATCCAGTCCTTCTGGGTTAACTCTTTAAAGGCACTTCTTGCTTTATTTAAGTCCAAGTGAATAAGCATCATTTCTGCAGATTTTCTATAGAAGGAAGATAAAATTTAAAAGTACATGGATAGTAAATGGAATAGGACACTTCAAAATTATAGATTTCATCAGACTATTTATCCAGATGAAGCTCTTCTTCTAAATCTTATTTCATTTCAACAAAATTACTTTTTCCCTCAACTTTACAATAAATAATTAGGCTAAACACAAATTCAATTGAGAATGTCACTGACCACTTATAATTATTTCTAAAAGATTTAAAAAAATAAAGCCCACATTAACAATATACATACTATCCAAGTTTAGTTCTGATACGATCTTATATTAAATATTTATTTATTTATTTTTAAGATTTTATTTATTTATTTGACAGACAGCAATCACAAGTAGGCAGAAAGGCAGGCAGAGAGAGAGGGGGAAGCAGGATACCTGCTGAGCAGAGAGCCCGATAAGGGGCTCTAACCCAGGACCCTGAGAAAATGACATGAGCAGAAGGCAAAGGCTTAACCCACTGAGTCACCACATTAAATATTTATCTTTTTTAAAAAGCCACACTACACACACAAAAAAATAGAGGTTTTTCTGCCCACTTCTGAAAAAAAATAACCATGTCTCCCACTTACCTGAACTGAAAGTCAGGATCAAAAAAAGGGGCTTCAGGGACGCCTGGGTGGCATAGTTGGTTAAGCATCTGACTTGGTTTCGTCTCAAGTCATACATGATTGAGCCCCACCTTGGGCTCCACACTCAGCATGGAGCTACGTAAGATTCTCTCTCTGGATCCCTTGCCCCCCGACTAGTACTCACTCTCTCTCTCCCCCTCTCAAATAAATAAATAAATACATCTTTTTAAAAAGATGAGGGGGGGTTCAGAAGCAGTAAATTCTTAGTGTTGCAACAGAAAATAACTAATGAGGGACACCTGGGTGGCTCAGTCGGTTAAGCATCTGCCTTTGGCTCAGGTCATGATCCTAGGATCCTGGGATCGGGCACTGGACTCCCTGCATAGCAGGGAGCCTGCTTCTCCCTCTCCCCCTGTTCATGCCTTCTCTCTCTCTAATAAATAAAATCTTTAAAAAAAAACTTAACTTGTGAATTACATTTATTCTCTATATGTTTATGTTCAATATGTATATTCTCATATGTTTATGTTCAATGTCTTAGAAATAGACACATTGTAAAATAATACAAATATTTCGTGTCTCAGAATAGAAAATATTCTTAAGATAAACGTCATATAAATATTTAGGAAAAGAGGTGCTAAGTAGTTCTTTCATTTAAAAATTCAAAGAAATCTTAACACCTTCTAATGGGAAATAATTAAATAAATTAATGGTTAAATAAATAAATAAATAAAGTATGTCCTTCCCATGGAATACCATGCAGCCATTACAAAAATGACATCAAAGAAAACTACTGAATAATATGAACTGAATAAAATAAAAAATGGACAAATACATTAAGTATAAAGTAATATATAAAAGAAAATAATCACATTTTTAGTAAAAAAATAAATTTGCACAAAAAAAGATATATGCACAAAAGCTAGTCCTCTTAAGTAGTGGATTATGGGTATTTTCATTTTTTTCGGTCACAGGTCTTTATTTTTTACATTTTCTACAGTGTTCATGTATTTGCTTTCATTAAAAACAGTTAATTTTTAGGGGTGCCTGGGTGGCTCAGTCAGTTAGGCATCCAACTCTTGATTTCTGCTCAGGTCATGATTTCAGGGTTGTGAGATCAAGCCCCATGTCTCGCTCCATGGTCAGTGGGGAGCCTGCTTGAGATTCTCCTTCCCTCTCCCTCTTGCCTCCTCCCCCACACCCCACACACATGTGTGTGTGCATGCTGTCTCTCTCTCTCATAAATAGAAATAAAAATTTTTTTAGAATCTTTAAAGAGATAAACACAGAGTGAATTATTTTAACCTCATTCCATTTTAAAATCTTTCATTTTTTTATTGAAAGAACTGACATCACATTATATTAGTTTCAGGTGTGCACAACATAATGAATTGATGTATGTATATATTGCAAAATAATTACCACTTAAGTCTAGTTAACACCCATCATCACATATAGTTACAATTTTTTCTCTTTTTTATAAAGATTTTATTTATTTATTTGAGAGGGGGAGAGAGAGAGAGAGGAAGAGCACAAGAGCATGGGGACAGAGAAGCAGATTCCCCACTAAGCAGAGGGCCTGATGAGGGGCTTGATCCCAGGACCCCAAGATCATGACCTGAGCCAAAAGCAGATTCTTAACCAACTGAGTCACCCAGATGCCCCCCAACTTTTTTTTTATAATGAGTATGTTCAAGATCTACTATCTTAGCAACTTTCAAATATACAATCTTTCGAACTTTCAAATATACATTATTCACTGAGTCACCACGCAGTATTTTTTAACAGGATCTTAAACTTTATAAATATATTAAATATATTACCTTTCCCTTAAAAAACTTCCAGTCAGACAAGCAGGAGATGAAAATATCTCTCTGATTTCCCTATATGAGGAATAAGATGGTAGTTAAAATACATCATACTGTATGTCTCCTTATAGCATAAGACATGATAAATAACACATCTCCTAACCATCCTTCAGACTTCTCTGTCTCTGATTTGTTTGCATGTTGCCTTGGGCATCTAAAAGTCTATTCATTTTCCCAATCTCAAAACTTCGTGACAAATGTGAGTAATAAAAAGGTATGTAGTCAGAGAAGCCACAAGGAAAGAGGAAAAGGACTGACCTAGGGTTAATTCCTTGAATAAGTAAGACATCCCCATCCCACCCAGCTCTCCAAACCCTATTTATTTCTGCTGCACTTAAGTGGAACAGAAAAAAATTACCAGAAATTAAATGGGAGGATGGGGGTGAGGAGGGTAGGCTCAGTTCCATCTTGGAAGTAATAGCACAAGTAGGTTTTTTTTTTTAATTATTTAAGTACAGCTGACATAGAATGTCACCTCAGTTTCAGGAGTACAATAGTGTTTCAACAATTCCACACATCACTCAGAGCTCAGCAAGGTGAGTGCAATCACCAGCACAGTTCTTGATCATCTACGCAGACTACAGTGCAGCTATTTCATACAACTACTTTACAAAATTAAGAAACCATGCCTAAAAATATCTCTAAAAGGAAACGCTTGTAGAAGCAAATATAATCTTGAGAAATGGTAGGAGTTGTATGGCTTTAAGCAAGACTGCCCACACTGTCCAGCTGTGAAGAGGTCCACAGACAAGTGGTTCTAAGGCCAAAGAGGGCTGGGAAATGGCTTAGGGGTATCTCCTACTAAGAACAGTCACAATATAGGCAAACATACCAGAGACCCAGAGAGTCCTCCAGTCAAAAAAGCTGCCCTCACAGAGCTTACACATTAGCTGTGGTTTTTAATCTTAATGTGTCAACTTGGTTCGGCTATAGTACCCAAATATCTGGCTAAACACCAATCCAGATGTTGCCGTGAAGATACTTTTTAGAGGAGATTCACATACAAATCAACAGACTCTGAGTAAAGCAGATAACCCTCCATAATGTGGGTGTGCCTCATCCTACATCGAAGGCCTGAAGAGAAAAAGGTTCCCAGGCATGGAGACTTCTGCCTCCAGACCCAAGCTGCAGTACTAATTCCTCCCTGGGTCTCCAGCTGGCTGGCCTGCACTGCCTATTTTGCACTTGTCAGTTCCAACAACTGCGTATCAGCCGACTCCTTAAAAATAAATCCCTGTCTCTACACACACACACACTCACACACACACACAGTTCCAACAACCGAGTATAAGCCAACTCCTTAAAAATAAATCCCTGTCTCTACACACACACACTCACGCGCGCACAAAATCTATTCCTTCTTCCTCTGGCTGATGGACATCGTGGACCACAAAACCTCGTATCTCTGAACTGTCTAGAACCAGTTATGGGGGGAAAGGCTACTTTACAGAACTCTATGAGCAGAGAAACACAGTGGCGGTACCTTTTTGTGTTTTGCCACTGTTTAGTCCCCACATCAGCAATCCACCTCTTTATGGTCCCTTCGTTCAACGTAGGAATTTTCCTCCTCAGATTAACATAGGGATTCTGTAAAAAAGCAAGTAAAACACAGCAATTTAGACACCACAAAAATAGGTATCCAACTTTTAGGCACATTCCAAGGATACAGGGTAATACTGACTTTTAAATACAGAGGATAGAGCTGAGAAATCCTTAAGTAAGATTTTACCAAGAAGTAATGGATCATTTGTTTGCCTGGTTGTCAACTTCTTGCCCAAGGGGCTTAAATCCAAGGTAAATTTCTCTGAGTGCTCCAACACTCAGCACTTCCAACAGGTATAATCAGATTAAAATGAGCACCACACAGCCTGGGGGGGGCAGGGGGGAGATCCTTTGTGTAGGACTGGGAGGAACTTGGTTGGCCTCAGCAAGCAGTGTGAGGGGGTTATCAACTTAGGATTCACAGGCTATGAACCTCGGGTCTTTTTTACTCCAGGCCAGCAAAATGTTAGAACGTCAACGTGATGGCTTGCTAGGATACCGACCAAGCCGCTGGCAGGGCCAAGGAAAGAGCTAAACAAATCTGATTTGACATTTACCAGAGACAAATCTCCTGATTCCTGTAAGTCAATACTTACGTAGTTTTGACAATAAAGGATCCATAATGTTTAGCTATTCCCTAAAGGTCAGCTTAGAAACTAGATGATTTTGGAATTCACCATACCTGGATACTAAAACCCTTCAGTTCGCTTAATATACCAAGTTATATAAAACATCTAGAGATCTATTTTTACCTTTTTTCCCATCCAGAGCAAAATGCTTTGATTCCCTCCAGCAATCATTATTAACTCTTTTTCTGAAGTTCGGCTTTCTGAAAGGGAGACACAGAAAGTAAGAGTGTAGAAAGTGACCGGCATGAACAGGCACACTCAATTTAAATCATTTCAGATTCCTCTTAAACTTGGTTCTTTTCTCTTTGTGACACAAGGCCTCAGCACATTTCCCACTCATGAAGCAGAAATATACATTTCCTTCAGAGTAAGGCTAGTTGGCAAAAACAGATGATCTGCAAGGCTGACAGATGACATCAGTTTGACATATATAATTAATGTAAATGCTTATATATAAAATAGTCGAATCAGTATTTGATTAGTTAGCTGATCCCTGGTTAAATTCAGCCCTCATTACCAAAAGCCATATTCTACAAATCAAGACTTAGCCAGTAACTACTGGCTGTAAAGAATATAAATTAAGTACTTCAAAAGTCTAAGTGGTTATAAGAAATCAAATATATGAGGGGTGGTGGCTCAGTGGGTTAAAGCCTCTGCCTTCAGTTCAGGTCATGATCCCAGGGTCCTGGAATGGAGCCCTGCAGCAGGCTCTCTGCTCAGCCGGGAGCCTGCTTTCCCCTCCCTCTCTGCCTGCCTCTCTGTCTATTTGTGATCTCTGTCAAATAAATAAATAAAATCTAAAAAAAAAAAAAAGAAGAAGAAGAAGAAGAAATCAAGTATATGAACTGCTCAAAGAAAACATCCTACTGTTTATTTTCCCAAAAGAACTTAAGAGAATTCTGGTACCTTGGATCACCACTAAGGTTTCAGAATTAAGTAACCAAAGTACTCTGATGCAGTTTCTATAGCAGAGTGTTTCAAGCTCCATGTGGCTCAGGCCATGGTTCAAATCCAACCAAAGCACTGACTGGCTTTAAGAACTGGCTAACCCTTTAACCTCCAAGGCTCTGTATCCTCCAGTAAGATGAGCCTGAGAGCACACATCTCCCAGAACTGTTAAAGGACAGGTGAGAGAACACACATAAGGGATAAACACAGTTACAGTGCCTGGCATATGACAGCTGCTCATTCATGATTCTTGGGGCTTTATGTGATTGAGTCAGTTATCAGGTAAAAAAACCAATCACCACGGAATTAATAGGTCTCCTACAACATATGCCTCTGAATCCATATAATCTATTTTATGTTCTATCATTTTAGATCCACATTAATCTTATTAATCTGAAGGAATAAGAGAAAACCAATGGTTATTTTTACTTCATTAATCATACCAAATATTTTAAGCTCTTTACAAGTAAAAAAATGAAACCAATGTTTAGAGAAACTTCCTTCATAGCCATACATTTTTTTCCTTGTCACATTACACACAGAAAAGTCAGTTTCTTGAGCGCAGTATTTAAGCCAAATCCTGTGTTCCTACAAAATTTACCAAATTTGAGTTCTTCATTTGATGGCAATTTCATGGGAAGTGGTATCAGCTGATTATGTGTTCCACCGTTTCCCAGTTGTCCTTCTTTTCCAGAACCAAAAGAAAAGACCTTCCCCAAATCAGAAACATAGGCAAGTGTGTGCCGCCTATTAAATAAAAGCACAGATGGTCAATTCTCAATTACCTACAATGAAGAGAGTACACAGCAACACGTAAACTGCTGAAATTAGGTCACCCAGTGAGTGAAACTAGTTAGCCAACTTCTAGTGGATGAAATTAGCAATATGGAAACTAAAATAGCATTCATGTGTGGCTCAGATGATTTTGGAATCCCTATGTCCACTCAAGGCCACAATGCTGGGCCTTGGGAAAAGGCATTCCCTGGACAGGAACAAGCAGCTGCCCTTGCTTGCTACTCCTTTTTCAAACCTTGACTTGAGAGTCACCATCTCTTGGAAGCCATCTTTGAGTGCCCCCTCTCCCCATCCTAGAAGATGGAATCAGGTGAACCTTTCTGAGCTCCATTTCCCAAAGACCTTTAGCTTAATAATGACTCCCTTGCTGATATGATCCTAGGCCTCTCCCACTCTAGAATGTGTTAAGAATCTGGCCTTTGTCCTCAGTTCCTGGGAGGTAACCTCTAAACCCTTAGAATTTCCCAATTGATAGGAGCCTCTTTGTTATTCATGGGAAGATCCTTAGATCACACCTAACAGCCTACCCAGGTGGCTTGGGAAGGGCCCCTCTGGCTTCATTGAAGCCCAACCTACAAGGAGGGAGAGGCCGGAATTTGAGCTCACTGCTGCGGGCAATGATTCAATCAACTGGACTAAGCAACTAAGCCACAGTAACAACTCTGGACTTGGGCTGAGCTTCCCTGGATGACAATACTATACACATCATCATGTATTGGGCTGGGAGAAGGTAATATCATTCTGTCCATGATTCTATGATGACTGGAGAGTGGAAGACTCCTCCTGGACTCTTTTCTAGACATCCCTTCCTTTGACTGGTTCTAATTTGTATCCATTTCTTATAATAAATGTGAATATGGCTTTAATAACTTTAAGTTCTGAGCATCTTTCCAGTGAATTCTCTTGTGTTAGTAGGGGAACTGTCCCCTGGTGTGTATTAAGATATCTCTAACATGAGACTCCTCTTCTAACACATGCTACTTAAAGAGATGAGTGTTCTGAAAAATCCAAAGTGGTGAAAATGTCTCCTTAAATGCAACGAATCATACCATCCCAATAATCTGGTCTACTTTAATAATATCCATTTATGTAATCTTACTCCAGGATCATAAAAGAATAGGTCTATGGACTGAAAGGTACATACACAAGTTTTTTTTACACAAAGGATTTTAGTAAACACATGAACCCAATATTCAGATACAGCCTGAATTTGCTTGTGTTTAATAAGGAAAGACTTGCCCAAAAGAAGAGTATCTGACTGAAAAGACTTCTTAACCTTACCACAAACCCAAAATCCCACTGGTTAGAAGTGAATGATCTTCAAGGAATAACTAAATAAGCCAAGGAGTTTGAGCAAATTTTTCTACTTTTATTAACAACAACAACAAAAAAAGCTGGAAAAATCAAACTTATCAGAATATTCTACTCAAACTACCACTGACTTTGTCTTCTCCTCTACTGTGATCACTCTGAAAAATAACAGTAACTTAGGCTGGCCTCTAAAGGGTTGTGAGAAAGACATCAATGAATAATCCTTTGTGATTCATGTTTATTCTCTCCCAAGTAAATGACATATTTTTCTTAAAGGTGAAAGTCTGTCTGAGCAGTTACAAAGATATTTCACTAAACGGGCAACAGAAAGTGAATAATTTTCTCATTAATAAAAATTAATGCACGGGCGCCTGGGTGGCTCAGTGGGTTAAGCCGCTGCCTTCGGCTCAGGTCATGATCTCGGAGTCCTGGGATCGAGCCCCGCATCGGGCTCTCTGCTAGAGCTCTAGGGGAGCCTGCTTCCTCCTCTCTCTCTGCCTGCCTCTCTGCCTGCTTGTGATCTATCTGTCAAATAAATAAATAAATAAATCTTTAAAAAAAAAAAAATTAATGCAGGGCATGCCTGGCTGCCTCAGTCTGAGAAGTATGCAACTCTTGATCTCAGAGTCGTGAGTTCTAGCCCCACGCTGGGTTTAGAGATTGTTTAAAAAAAAAAAAAAGACAATGAAAACAAATATATATGCTAAATAAAAATTATTATCTAATAACATAAATTAAGCATCTTCACCCATGTGACAATATTTGATACGTTTATCTCAATTAAAAAAAACTGACGAGGGACGCCTGGGTGGCTCAGTTGGTTGGACAACTGCCTTCGGCTCAGGTCATGATCCCGGAGTCCCCGGATCGAGTCCCACATCCGACTCCCAGCTCCATGGGGAGTCTGCTTCTCCCTCTGACCTTCTCCTTGTTCATGTTCCCTCTCACTGTCTCTCTCTCAAGTAAATAAATAAAATCTTAAAAAAAAAAAACTGACGAAGTTTTATTAAACTACCTATCTAAATTTATCATAATGATCTCACCAATCTTCATGGACACTTGACAACTTACCTTCCACATGCTACCTGGGTCACTCTAATTCCATAGAGCTCAGTCACCAAACGGGGTCTTAACTCATTCTGTGTGGAATTGTGACCAAGTTGCCCGTATTTTCCAGCACCAAAAGTAAATACCTGCCCATCCTAAAGAAAAAAAAGTATCAGATTCTAGAAAAATACAAGAGTAAGTAATATAACTTAATAATAAAATATTACTGAATTCACTGATATCACTGCATAATTAACAAAAGGGCTATTCACTGATGCCTCATTGTTGCCTCACTCAGGGGAGCCTGGGTAGCTCAGTCGGTTAAGCATCTGACTCTTGATTTCAGCTCAGGGTCATGATATCAAGCCCTACATTGAGCTCTACACTCAGGAGGAGTCTGCTTTTCTCCCTCTCTCTCTGCCCCTCCCCACCCTGCTCATGTGCACACTCTAAAATAATTAAGGAAATCTTAAAAAAAAAAAAAAAAAGACCATCAAAGCAAAGCCCCAAATTATCAGGAGGACAATCCTACATGTGAGAAGTGACCCCTCTTTCCAGGGAAATACTAAGTGCCCAAATCCAGGTGTTTTGTGCTTTTCCCACTACAAAGTTCTTCCAAAATTACCATTGGAGAGACAAGGATACACGCACCTCTGTGAGCAGGGCAGTGTGAGAGCCACCACATGCAAGAAATTCAACTTTCTGACTGTCCAATGCTTCAACGAGGGAAGGAAATTCTTCACCTATGCGAGAAAAAGAAGCTGAAGTGATCAAAAGAGAACGCTAATTTGCACCCTGGAGTTCCGTGCTACTAGGAACATACCTGCACTGCCTCTCAGCTGGTGGTCACAGTTCCTAACACCTTCTGACAAGAAAGCCCAGTGTTGGTACACTTATTCTGGCCTAAAACTGGGGGTGAGGCAGTGGTGAAAGGGCCACGCACAGGAGAACACGTATGTGAAAGTGTCAAGCCACTTCCCAGAACCCACTCCTCCTGTCAGCCTAACTTGATTAACTTCAATTGCAGCATATCTGGTATTTCCAATTCCCATCTAAAATTTAATGAACATAAAGATTCTTTTTTTTTCTTTTAAATTCTCTACTACAGTGTTCCTGTCCTATACTGCCTCTCCTTTCTTTTCACAATTTCCCTGTCAAAGCACTTAGAGGTTCAGCAAAAAAAGTTTTAACTGCTCTTTATTCCTTTCCCTCCTTTGAATATTTTTCCATCACTGACTATGGTTTCTCCTGAGGGCCATATCAGGGAAAGATGCAGTGTATGACCACTAACCCAGGGGAAAACAGGTGCATTACCACAACTGATAAAGCAGCAGTCTGCCACACCTGAAAACTCCAAGACCGTATTCAGGATCATAAGAAAGTTTGCCATCTGCTTTGTGGAAGTAGTTCAATAACAGCAATAACGGGTTTTTTTTCCCTTATCTGCGTATACAGATATAATTAATACCTTATAGACTAAGATTAGAATCTGTGAGCTGCTAAAGAGATTACTGGTATTCTTTTGTCCTAACATGGAGTAGTAACAGACATTTATGTGCAAAGGCACTTCGGAGGTCATTTCATCCAAATGCATCACTTTACAGAAAAAGAAAATAAGGCCTAGAAAAAAGTTAAGTGACTCAGCCAGGCCCTGCCATTAGTTAACTGCAAAGTGGGAAGCAGAGACCAGGTATTCTGATCAGTGCAGGGCTCTTTCGCTTAGCCTACACAACCCTGACAGACATCTCAATCACAGCAACAACTTCCACTACGCATGTCTCCTAGATTGCTTCTGCCCTGAAGACAGAGATAACCAGGAAAAAAAGCACCAATGACAGTGAAGATCTGAACCATTTTTGACAGGGAGGCCTGTGTTAAATTCATCTCTTATTTAAGAAATATATTTGATAATATGAACTTGAAAATATAGTTCCATACCGTCAGTGTGGCCCAGGCCTAGTTGCCCCAAATCATTTCTTCCCCATGAATAAATGTTTCCAGACATGGATAGGGCCATGCTGTGGGCTTTTCCCGCAGAAATCTGAACCAAGGGGACTCCTGAAAGGTGCTCCACAACCTGTGGTGTGGGGATTGAGGCAAATAGTCTTCCAATTCCAAGCTGGCCATGTAAATTCTGTCCCCATGCAAAGAGCTCACCACCTTGACATAAACAAACAAAATGCTGCCTTATTAATAAGTTTGAAGTACAGGAGACATTAACTTCGGGCATTATGTATGTTATCCATACTATACTATCAGTATCCTACATTCAACTTCCCAGGTCTGAGAGAAAAACCCGAAGCAATCTCCTCTTTAGCAGTAACAGTTATACTTCCTTACCTTCTGCTTCAAAGGGTAGAGTTTGTGTCCTTGCTTCCCCAAATATTACCTTCCAAGATTGTGATGTACCAGTAAGAGCCCCTGAACATCCCCCTCTGCCCCACATCACTACATGATGGGCTTCTTTAATGGTCATGTCCCTTTCAAAAAATATACATGTGGAAAAACCAACCCTCAATGTAAGGGTATTAGGAGGTGGACCTTTGGAAGGTGACTAGGATTAGCTGAGATCATCAGGGTGGAGCCCTCAAGAATGAGATTAGTGCCCTTATGAGAGATTCCAAAGAGTTCTCTTGCCCTCCCCACCATGTAAGAAGATGGGCCCTCCACACAGACACTGAACCTGCTGACACCCTGAATTGGACTTCTAGCCTCCAGAATTGGGAGAAAGAAATTTCTGCTGTTTAATTCTGCCAATCTGTGGTATTTTTGTTATAGCAGCCCAAACCAACAAAGACTAGAAGAATGAAGCTACCTGAATATATGGTAACCAAATTCAAGGAATGGGCCCATGAAAACCAAAAACATTCTACATCTAGGAAAACAGAACCTGAAATTAATGTTTTCCTTCTGCCCACCCACTCTGTTCACGTGCCTGAGGATTCTAAATAATGTATAATTTGAAATTACAGCACAGTATCTTGAAAGAGTCTGTATCTCCCTCTGTTAATTGAATACATGAAGCGTGCAGAAAAGTTCTGAAGTGTTTATCTAATGGAATTGACAATATCTGAATCTCAAAAAATATATCAGAGAATTAATGCTTACTGAGCACCTCTTTGCAAGATACCATGCAGAATCTGGTGGGGGGGCAGAACTCTCCTTCAAAAGTAACACCATGTGTGGGGCGCCTGGGCGGCTCAGTGGGTTAAAGCCTCTGCCTTCAGCCTGGGGCCGTGATCCCAGGGTCCTGGGATCGAGCCCCACATCTGGCTCTCTGCTCAGCGGGGAGCCTGCCTCCCTTCCTCTCTCTCTGCCTGCCTCTCTGCCTACTTGTGATCTCTGTCAAATAAATAAATAAAAAATCTAAAAAAAAAAAAAAGAAAGAAAGAAAGAGAGAAACACCATGTGCCTATCAGCCAGTAAGAATATAATGATGAGGGGCGCCTGGGCGGCTCAGTGGGTTAAAGCCTCTGCCTTCAGCCTGGGGCCGTGATCCCAGGGTCCTGGGATCGAGCCCCACATCTGGCTCTCTGCTCAGCGGGGAGCCTGCCTCCCTTCCTCTCTCTCTGCCTGCCTCTCTGCCTACTTGTGATCTCTGTCAAATAAATAAATAATACTGAGCACCTCTTTGCAAGATACCATGCAGAATCTGGTGGGGGGGCAGAACTCTCCTTAGTAAGAATATAATGATGAGGGGCGCCTGGGTGGCTCAGTGGGTTAAGCCTCTGCCTTTCAGCCTGGGGCCGTGATCCCAGGGTCCTGGGATCGAGCCCCACATCTGGCTCTCTGCTCAGCGGGGAGCCTGCCTCCCTTCCTCTCTCTCTGCCTGCCTCTCTGCCTACTTGTGATCTCTGTCAAATAAATAAATAATACTGAGCACCTCTTTGCAAGATACCATGCAGAATCTGGTGGGGGGGCAGAACTCTCCTTAGTAAGAATATAATGATGAGGGGCGCCTGGGTGGCTCAGTGGGTTAA